GCCGAACACAACAGCCACAAGCTGCGAGGAGCGAAAGTGGAGCGAAAAGTGAGAGAGAAGTGTTGCAACTTGTCCCATCATATCGTCGAACGTGGTCCCCATCACTGCGGCCATGTTGCAGGACCAAATCGACGTGCGAATGGAGCTGGCACAGAGTTTCCACCTTAGTTTTAGCTGAAAGACAAGCAATAAAAGGGGACCCCATGGTATCTCCTTCCTGACACATCGACACCAAACTGAGGCCAGAGCCACCCGAGAGGCATCGCTTCGACTGAGGACCTGACATCTCACCAAGGTTAGGGCCGTCAGGGTCTTCTCGTTGCTGGCCTGCTCGCTGCCCAAACGGCTCAAGTAGAGTTCGAGGAGCTTCAGACCTGGATCTGAGATCTGATGCAAAAAAAAGAGTCTGAATCTAAATTGCATGCAAAATTCAAGGCTCTTGGCATCTTATGAAAAATGCAACTTGGCTGCCAGCCGTCCTCCCGCACCTCAGTGCTCACATGGGACCTGGGAGCGGAAAGGAATTCAGGCTTGGAGCGACCACGGGTGGCAAATCTGCCATCCCATGTTCTGGCACCGGGGCTACTGACAGGGCACTCCGTACCTGTTCTCGAGCGGCGCCAACGATTGCGGCAATCAAGCCCCTTAAAATTATTCCGTCTAATTATACGTACCATTTACAAAAACCGTGATATCGTCAGCTTGCCTGCAGGGCAAGGTTTGGGGCGAAGGCCGCAACCGCATCCTGGAGCTCGCGCATTCCAGGCAGAGGACTGCATGCAATCGTCTGCTGGCCTGCGGCAGGGCCTCCACCAGATAGGCCTCAGAATCTTTTGTAGTTCCAACATGTTACGACTCATGATGCTAAAAAGCCAGGCGCTGGCCTGAAAGGACCGGAAAGCCGCCCGGACGTCGGAGCTTCCGTCCATAGCCACAGTGGCCTCTGGCTTGTGTGCTCAGTTGGAGGGCATGGCGCGGCTGACCCAATGACAACGAGATGCCAAGGAGTCTAGGATGCGAGAGAGGTGGACCTGCAGAACCTGCCAAGCAGTGGGCTTAGAGAAGCTGAAGGAGCTTGCGAGGCCCTCCTTCGAAACCGTAAACCCAACAAGCCAGCACAAACAAATCAAATCGTTTCAAGTCATCAGCTCGGTTTGCTGCAAACTACTTTAGAGCTTCTGTACCAGACGCGAAGTACACGCACCTATCCTGTTCACCTGCGGGTACTTCCTGCTGAAAGAAGAATGCTCGAAAGACAACACTGGATGTATCTCATTCCCTCCGGCACATTCTTACACATGCACCATATCCTCATTTTCTTGACCGCAATCCCCAGCCCCTTCACCAGAAATAATGTCAGCAGCACTGTTCCGTGCTCCTTGCTTAGCTCCAGGAGACCGCGCAACCTGCTGTTCGGAGAAGGCTTGTTGATATCTCTTCACAGACCAAACAATCACCCAAAAGCACGCGAGGAGCGGACGCATCGCGCCGCACCTTGGAGCTGTGATGCTGGAGGTGGGCAAGCCTTGGCCGGTTGAGAAAGCGCCCTGCTCTGCTCACAGTTGAACATCTACTGGCTATATTCATGGATACAACAATGGGATGATGAACCCGCAGCAACAACCTCTGAGTGCAAGAACAGTTCTGTAAGGCCCAACCTTCGAAAGGCAAAAACAGTAGCTCTCCAAGACCAAACAATATTCCGCTTGATCGTTCTGCCTTCTGTGGGTGACCTCCTTGCCCTTCTCGTCCAAGGCGCTTTGTGAAGGCATCTGCACCTCTGCCGGCTCCCAACGAGCCAGGATCTGCTAGAATTAGTTGCCGACTGTTGTGAAGGTTTTCCTGGCTTTCGCGCCTTCTTGACCTTGAAGTCTGTCTGTGTTTCATTGGCAGGCGCCTTTTTTGTCTTTCCGACCTGATAGGTGGAGCAGCAAACGTCAACGAATAATACGAGGTCCTGTTCCCAAACGGGGGGTAGGGGGCGAGACGCGGGGATACCTGCACACTCGTCGTCGGTGCTGAATAGTGAAATGTGAGTTCTGTTGTTTGTCAAGCTTCTGATGCTCTTACTCGCTGGAGATAGCGTATGACGGCGTAAGACAAAAACCTCAGACAACAAGTCTCACACGTGTTCGACATTTCAAATTGTTGTTCCTGTTGATATTCTCGTTTGCACTTCAGCAAATAGGAAATGCAACTTGACCCATCCGTTCCCAGCAAACTTGGCTTGAAGGCCCGGGCGACTTCGAGCATCATTCTTGGCTCCATAAAGATCTATATTAACATTGAATTTACAACGCTCTAAATCTTTCTTTGGATCCCACAAAGGTTCTGCGGTCAGAAACAGAGAGTGCAGACCTGTGAACACCCTACCAGCAGCTTCCAAGTCCACTACAAGCAGCAGTGTTCTTGTATGCTCGTGTTTAGCCCTATGTCCTCCACCCAACTTTGCGATCCTCGATGCGAAGCGTTTCATTTGCTTACCCTGTGATTCTACGTGGTAAAACCAATTCAAGCCCCATGAAAAATTGCTTCGAACGAGGCGCAATTCTATTGATATTCTATGGCTCGCAAGGGGAGATTCCCTGACCATGCTAACCCATGAAACCCAAGTATATTGCAGATCTCAATCGTCACTGGCCACGAAACGCATAAGCCTTCGAAAAGGTTGCGCACGATTTGGATGTGCCGTACCGCAAAACTCGTCCATGTAAAGTTTTATCGACTGCTGGGCATGCCGCCTTCTCTCCCGGTCGGGCATGCGCATCTCTCCCCTAAGGTCCCGAGCCGCATGCCTCCCCCTCCCCTTGTTATGTTTTGGAAGTCCAGGCGGCACATCCTAGCCCATGCCCAATGTACTGTGCATATGGCTCAGGAATTTATGAACTCTTAAAAAGAAAGGAAGACAAGGAAGCACTGCATCGCGGGACACGAACGTTCGAAAAACCTCACGCAATTTCGATGGAATATGATGGAATGGCCCCTCCCAGACGCTACACTAAGGCTACGCTGCAGCTTCCAGATTCGAAATTGAGGTTGCTCATCGTTCTTTTCTGCAAAACCTTTCGCGGGAAAAGTGTTTCCCTGTCGCGCTTTCTTTCGCGAAGCTTTCGCGGCGTTACAACACAGATATCAACTTCGAGACGGGCGCAAAGGATTTGAGGTGTGGTTCAACTCAGGAACCCGGAATCGATAGCAGTCCAAGCCTTTGGATGGCCATGAGGGTTATTTGACTGTTTTTTTGGAGTTTAGAGTTTAGAGACTGAACCTTAAAGCCTGGGACAAAAGATCCTGAAGACCCATCCCTCGCAGAAGGGGCCTGAACACCAAAACCTGCTGAACTGTGCCTCATCATCTCAGCCCTCCTCACACATTCTCAAACCCTGATATAAACCAATGTTAGTCTCTACAACTACCGCAGTTGCGTCCTTTTCTGTCAGCTATTGGCTGAACTGCAGCTCTAAACTAAATAGCTACATGATTACAATGTGTCTTCCCCGGGTTTTTGTGCTGAGCTTGAACCGCAGGCACCCTTCATTGCAGGTGTATATATGCATTGGCAGCACATTTGTGGTGACTCTTTTGGACTGATTGTCACCCCCCCCCAACCTTGCTGACTCGCGCGGTTCATGAGGTCTTGCATGCGGTAGTTTCCTGCCTCGTGTGACACCAGTTTCCTGATCGCGTTTCTTGCTGAATCGCCTGACTTCCTGAATGTTGGTTTCCCCGTGAATTCTGGTTTCGCTCACGACTGGTTTCTGAATCGCGCAGGAATCGGAGGATGAGTTACCGTTGCTTGTCGGCTGCCACAAAGACGCATCCAGCTGCCTTGTTCTTCACCTTGGTGAAGTCTTTGACAGCTTTTGCCTTGCCGCCCTTGCTGCCCGTGCTTTTGCCTTTGGCCAAAACCTTGCGAAAATCAGGATCACAACCTCTGCTGCCAGCCAGACTCTACTTCAGCCTCTTTCGTGGGTCCCATCATTCACTGTCACACTCGCCTATCCAAACGTGCCCTTCTGGCGTCTGCCAGCTTGCACTAGCCCGATGCTGCTAGCTCAAAGGCTCTTCAACCACACGCTGCTTGCCTTGGATTTCCTTGCCATGCTGCACGAAGACCTGCCAGGAATGCGGCACATGGTCACTTGACGCAGACTTGTGCAAGAGCCAGGGTGTCACAGGTGTAATAGTTGAATGCAGGCTGCGTGAGATGAAATCTGTGAAGTGCTGCAACAGTCCCTTCACCTTTGTCAAGGCGCCATCACAGAAGCCTGCATGATGGCGAAGACGATGATGAATTCAAAGGGCAAGAAGAAAACCACAGTTGGAGCACTGATATAGCACAGGTGGCAGTTATGTGAACCGAAGACAGCCGAATCTGCAAGATAATGTCGATTTCTGATTCTGTCTTCACGAAACCCACGAAAACTCACCTCACCTCCAATGCGGATTCGGCTATCCATGTCAAGCGGGCTGCAATCTTGCGAAACGCTGCGGCAAGCCATTATCATAGGCTTACCGCAACGCTTGTCAACGCAACGCGACATTGAATGCGACATTCAGGTTGCCAGAACCCTATTTGCAATCTCGGACCTAGTCCCGAACCACGTGGCCTTGCTAATGATGTTGACTGCAAGTTCAGGCACCTGTGTCGCAACATGCCACAGCATGTCGCCTGATAATCTCATTCGTTCTGCTCAGTATGCGCATCAAAAATTGCATCGAACAGCTGTGGGAAGCTGGCTTCTGGATGCTTCTGGACCCCAGTGCTCCACAGGGCCGCGGGGTGCATCCTCTGCGCTGCAAAGCGTCCGGGGATGCACCATCGTGCCGTTAAGTGCAGAGGCACAGAAGCTGACTTTTTGCCCCTCTTTTGCAGCAGGAGGCCACGCCCAAGCCTCCAGAGAGATTTCATTTGGAACACACCCCGAGAAACACTCCGTGGTTGCTTATCTACACTCATGATTCCTGCACGAAGCAGTTGCCTCCTCAGGCTCTGGGCATCACACCCCCGCAAAGTTGCGCCACTGATCAAAGTCCTGGTCTATTTCGCAGTAAGATTCTTACACTCAGGGATCACAAACACACCTTAAACGTCGCGGCGACGAGAATGAAAGCGCTGTTCGTGCCACTTCATGCCACTCCGCCCTTCTCTCAGCCCAGGCGCGCGCCGGCGCTCGCAGCGCACCAAGCGTCTGGGAGTGGAAGCCTCTGATCCCAAGGCGGGTGCCTCCTTTTGTCCCATTGCAGCAGCAGCCAGGCCAGCCACCCGCTCGGGAATGTCCTCAACATAGACCGGAAGAGGAGCAGGGAGAGAAATACGAAACTCTAGGAAGCCAAACGGATGACACCAATGCGACCAGGCGAAGCAAGATGCGAAATCGGCTTCTTCAAGACGTTTCAGGAGAGGAGCTCCCAGACTCGAAACCTGCCAAGCCCAACCATGATCTGCACTCGTCCGGGTGTCAGGGCGGGGCGCTAGGCGACAGCTCTCTCGCACAGGTTCAAGGTCGTGGAAAGTCGAAAATAGCATATGCCTGGCAATGCCTGGCACCATACAAAGGAATACGCTCTGCTGTGGAGCACAACATGAAACTGCAAAGTAAATCGAGGGTGATCTTTTGTTTCGATGTCCGTCCAAATGCAAAAGTTTTCAATCCTAAACAAGTGGTATAATGACAGTAGTCTGGAGCAAGTCAAGGGATGCGCTCGAGAATCTGCGACACTCCGTGCTCTTCAGTCTGTTCGTGTGTCTGCGTCTGTATCTGTGTCGGTCTGCCTCTGTGTCCAGTCTGTGTCATTGTGTGCGGGTTTGGTGGCAGGAGGTAAGACACGAAGCTTCGGGAATCACGAAACGAAGCCTGCTTTCGACGTGCGAGCAGAAGGAGGAGGTCCTCACGCACAGAAGCCGCACAGAAGCCTCACACCAGCCTCAGGAGTTCTCAGGAGATGGATATGACATCGGAAGATTCTGGCTCGTGCTGTCCTCCACCACCTTCGGGTCGATGAAGGCACGGGTCCTGCATTCGAAAAATTGCATGCTGCACATCTGCTCGAACCTCTGCCATTGGGCCTCTCAGCCTCTTTGAAACCACAGTCTGAGAAGTCTCAGAAGTGTCAGAGAGTTGGCCTTGTCACGGGCCGGGCTGCGATGCCCGCAGTGCGAAGCCCCAGCGCCGCATCCAACAGGTCCACAGCCTGGGCCTTGTCTGAAGATTTTGTCTGATCTTTGTCTGCCAACAATCGTTGGCCAAGGTGATGCCCGCCAAAACTAAAAATCATTCCTGAACATGCCTCTCTCGAACCGGAACATGTGCTTCGCCCGGCCCTATGGACGAATATGACAAAGTGTTGTTGAACACTTTTGAATGGCTCGCCTACTCTGCATTCTGAGGTGTGCAGAACTCGACACCGAAGCCATGCAAATGTTCTCGAGTTTGGAGGTGGCACCTGTTGAGGAAATAATTGGTTTTGTGTAGCAATTCTTACTGTCTTTGTTTGGGGAAGGTCTCGGTACGTGTTCGAGTCTGGTGTGGGTTCCCTGCTACACTAGGACGCTGCGTATCCTCTGTACTGTGCGAACGTCATGACACACCTCGTGTTGCGTCAGCGTCATTCCTGAGCCTATGCTCATGATACATACTCCTGCTTCTTTGCGCAAGCACATTGTCGTGGCCACCTGTTTGCATGGCAGCAGCTCAAGTCTAAGAACCGGAACATCGAGCAGAACAAAAAGGCACAGTGACCCATAGATTCCACTCGTGAATCGTGTCGGCCAAGAGCAGAGGTTCCCATGGGGAGCGTGGGGTGTCGTCATCCCCCGCCCGGAAATTTCCCGGTTTGCCTCGATTTTTGGTGATGCAGAGACAACCAGAACGTTCATGCGATGTGGTTGAGGTCGTCCTGCGTGACATGCAAGAGGCCGTGAGCGAACGCTTCGCCCTGCCCCTCACGCTTCTCGCCGCCCCGTTTTCAACTTAACCCGCCCCGATTCGAGTTCCCCCCGAAACGCAGCACAGTGCTTACAAGACACGCACGTCTGGTGCCTAACAAAGCTGTCTGTTTGCCAAGCTGGCTGCTGTCAAGCCAAGCTGAATGCAGCACTGGATGAGGAGCCTGTCAGTCAGAGGCGGTGAGTCATTTCATTTAGTTGCCTGTCTTTACCCCTCGTACAGAAGAGCACGTCAAATTCTGCGGCGAAGCGGCTCATAAGCCCGGGCGCTCGGTAAACATCCCATGGCAGACATCCCTTCGTAGGTAGACAATGCCAAGTCAGGTTTACCTTGGACGGGTGTGGCATCCAGCTTCCCGTAGTACATTTGTCATAACTTCTGACATGTCGACCGCTACTTCGATTCAACACGTGGAGTTCAATTGGGCAAGGGACCACATCGAACGCAAGCAGCAATGAGAGCTCCGTACCTTGCGATGACCAGGCTTTACAAGGGTCACACAAGCGTCATGCCCAACATAACTGCTGTGCTCATGGGAGTCGGAAGGTCGGCGCGGTTGTCAGTCCATTTGTGCCAAGAGGCACATATGCATTCGGCTGCAGGTGATATTCGCGCAGCATGCCCTCGAACGTGGACACGGCACGCTGCAGCTCACCGCGTGAAGAATACAGCCGGATACCTTGGTTCTCAGGCTACAAAGAAGCAGCACCGCGATGGTCTGCCACCGGTTTGTCATGGTTTGTCAAGATGCCCAGAGGGCAGTAGGAACTGTCACCTGCTTGCAGGAAATCTACAAGCTGCCAGCGTTGAGTTTGAGGGCTGCACGCCAAGCTCCTCGCACAAGCTGGAGTTCAAGAAGCTGAAAATGTGGGTGCACATGTGCGCGAACTTTCCTAGAAAGACTTCCATTTCACAATGCCCTTACGAGCGGTCACCCTCATCTGGGCCAGAAGTTGCTCCGCTCCCTTGAAGTAGTGCTGGTGGACGCACGCCTCCAACCTCACGGAGCTCTCCGGACACAATTGTGGCACACAAGCCACTACATCGCCCCGAGTCGAGTGATTGTGATTTCGCAAAAACGGATCACATCGATAAAAGTTCAGTACCCTTTCGGTTGCACTTCTCCTGCCATGTCGCACATGCACATCCAACCAACTTAAGTGGGTCCCTGCACGTGCTGGCAGAACCTCCTCTGTTCAATGCCGAGGCACAAAGCATCAAACAACATAGCATCCAAACACATTCTGTCGCATCGCATACGATCCACAAAGGTCAGTGCCTCCTCCACCTGCGAGCTTTGCAAGCTTGCTGCTACCATCTGCCACCCGAGATTGAGCCCTTGGCCCTCGAGTAACTTGCCAGAACGAGGCCTTGCCGATGTTGCATAGGCCTCGAATCATGGCGGAGTAGGTCGCCTGAGCCGTGTTGTTGCTTTTTTCTTGCTGTTCATTCCGGAACAAACCACCTCCAGCATCCACCAAGGGTCAGAGGAACAAACCTTTCAAAACTAGTGTGTACGGACATGTGGCCACATCCCAGAATCTCACAAAATGCACACAGTATTCAAAAAGGTACCAACCGTATCTGGTGTGTGGGAAGTCATGGCTCGAGCTTTAAGCTGCAAGATTTGTGGCTTTACGTGCTGGAGGGATTTCGGCTCTCACGCCCGCGCACAAGATGAAACGTCACTATCTTCTGTCGCTTCTTCAATGGTGACCCTAGGAAGGCGACAGAGGCACACACCGCCGGTGTAATCATGCGGAGTTGAGAATGGCCTGTAGGCTGCCTGATCTTTAAGTCTACAGGCAAACCAAATAGTCCAGGATGCGAAGTCAGGTTTCAGCTTGTCACCTGCCAGCTGCTCGAAGAGCGCACGGCCTCTGTCGGCAATTTCTCGCTCATTCTCACTTCTGTGAGAATGTGCTTGCTTTTGCTGGTGGTGGCTGCAGAAAGGGCAGGTCCACCATGCCAACGCCAAGGCGCCCAGGTCCATGCGCCCCAGCTGCGCACATGCCACAATAAGCGACCTGACAGCGCCCCGAAGAATCTTTCCTATCAAGGACTCTCTCGAGAAGAGAGCACAGAATTCTACTTTCTTCTGGCGGCACCAAGTGGCTTGACGGTGCGAAGGTCCACGGTTTTATTGGTCTGGCGTACTTGCTTGATGCATTCGTCGGCTTCGTCAACGTGCTGCCTCCGTGCTAGCCTTACAATGGCAAGCAACACCGAAGCAGCTGATGCATCTTGCATTCGTTTGCTATGGCTCCCAAACATGGGGGGCATCACGAGCCAGGCTGGAGTCCCTTTGTTGGGATTGTGTGCCATGGGTCCTCTGCAATTCAGACTTCAAGACCAGAAAGGCCCTTTCATGATCCCTTCTCCAATGATTGTAACCCTTTGCATATTTCTTCTCACGATACTCTCCCTGTTTCTTGGCCTGTCACAGCCCCTCACAAGCACATGCCCGTTCCCTCTTCCGCGACGCCCTTTCAGAATCGGGAGGGACCAGACTGGATTCAAGGAACGCTAGTTCTGCCGTTGCTTGCTTACGGTGCTCCACAGAAACAGAGTACATCGTTCACCCAGAACAAGGTGTTGCGATCAAAGTGTCGGGGACGGGACCAGCTTAGGTCCCAGACCTTTAGGACTGGAATCTACAGTGTGCGTTTGTTGCTTGCACTAGGGTAAAGTGGCGGTGGAGGTAGGGTGGGCGGAGGGGCCCGTTGGCCTTGAAAGCTTCGAGTCTCTATATGATTGGCCACGAGGGCAGGGAGGGTGCTGAGGGGGGTTCACAACGCCGGACAGCAGGTCCAGTCATGCCGAGAAGCCAACGAGCCAGTGCCAGAACATGAGATGATCCTTTTGGCCCTGTGCAGGCGACAGCAGGCTTGTTATATATACATGTATATATATAGACACATATCCACACATGTCTTACGAATTTGCGGGCCTTCTTACTCATTTTGGTATTGCTCATGGGAGATGCGTGCTGCAAACGTCCAGAACTCAAAAGAGTCAGGAGATGCGAGGCGAACCTGCAGGAACGCTCCAAGCTGCACGGCGGGCCAAGCGGTGTGCGGAGTCGAAGTCGCCCTGTTGGACACACGCCTGTGGCAATCACCGATCCGTTGAATCCCATGAATGCATGCTCTGCTTGTTGCCATTTGTTGCCTGTGCGCCGTTGGCCTGTCTACAAAACACGGGAGAACCGGAGAATACCGGAGAATCCAGCGGCGGGGCATGCCTCGAAGACTTCGGCGTAGAACGTGGGATCTGGCAGCGAAGGGCCCTGAATGTAAATGAACGCTGAAAAGTAGAATGAATAGTGACTAAGTGCTCCAAGCTTTGACCAGGATGGCTCTCCAATATGGAGGTGTCACGCCCATGTTCATGCCTCGGCCGCATCTGTTGTAGAAATCCAGAGATCCACACCCACGTCTGGGCGGCCAGGAGGAAAAGAGACGACCTTCACAGAAACAAAAACAACAAAAGCACAAAAAGGCTCGGGGAGATTTCCAGAAGACAACAAGAGAACGGCGGCGCTTTGACGATCGCACGGGGAAGACTTAAGGGTTCATGGAGCGATGCTGCGGAGGAACATCCTGGCAACAGAAACATACCACATTGTCGCCACATCGAGCGGTCGCTGTCGTTGTTCTGCTCTTCTTGCTGGTATTGCTTCTTATGTTGTTTGTGCTGCTCTTGCTGCACCGGTTGGTTCTCTTCAAGCTACTTTTAAATATTACCTTTGTTGTGCTGGCATCGACTGGTGTTGATCGTTTACGCAGTTTAGGCCAAAGACGAAAATTTACCGGCGCCAACACGTATTCGGGAAGCTCCGGCTTCGGGGCTTGGCATCCACCTGCAGCGCCCACCTCTTTGCAATCACATGTGTTTCATCAGTGTTCTAACTTCCCGTGCAGCATGCTTGAGTATATTTGACACGGAGTACTCCGGAGTACGCATTCGAATGCACACTACGGTCCTCTGCCTTAGCACACTCCTTCATACGCAACCGCTTTGTAGCGAACCACTGTTGCCGATACGTCGTGTTCCACAGCGGACCTTCTGAAAGGCGGCAAGTGGGTATAAAAGGAGGCAGAGCAGCAGAACATTCGAGGATGTGCAAGGAATTCTCTCCAAGGCCCGAAGCCATCAACTCATGCCTCGCACGGGGAAGTTGTGAATATTGTGCGGCCCGTTGGAGCCCCATTTTGGTCACCATTGAGCAGAGCTTCGGGACGTCAGAGGTGCACTGTAGTTGATGGTGCTGGTGGTGCGGCAGATTTTGCCAGATAATTCCCTCATCCATGACCCCATGAACCGGAGGTCAAAGCACGCACCTCTCCCCTCACTGGCGACTCGCTGTCACTTGTAGAGAACCAGAACTGGCTGCCACTACGATGGACAATACATACAAGCCTCTCCAAGTAGTTCATGTATACGGGCCCGCACTTAGGCAAGCTTTGGGTGGCAAACATTCGGCACAGGAAGGTTCATGAGACGGGTACTAGTAAGTTACTAGTAAATCAGTGCACCGTTGCCCAACAACCAACCAGCACCCAGGGCTCAGGTGCCACGTCTACCGAACCGCCAATCACAGTGCCAATTCTTCCTTCCTTTCTTCCTTCCTTTCTCCCTTCCTTGGTTCCTTCCTCTCTTCCTTCCTTTCTTCCTTCCTTTCTTGCTGCCTTTCTTCCTTGCAAGGTCTCTCTCTTCTTCTTCCCGCCCGTGTTTGGGTTCAGGAGTTCTTCGTCTTCTACCCAGCGAAGAAAACCCCATGCAGAGTCCCCAGAAGGGGCCCTCTGCCGCATGCTGGTGAGAAATGGCCCTGCGAATGCTACCTGGAGCTTCAGGCTACACATGCCCTCAGTTGACATGCACCACTCATTCTCCGTACGGCTCGTCACGTCCATCTCATCTCTGGCAGGCGGGCTCCCATCACGGTTCAGGTCTCTTCCTCTTCCTCTTCCGCTTCCGCTTCCTCTTCCTCTTCCTCTGCACCCCCCTTTATTGCTTCCTTCCTTCGGGCACACTTGGCTCCTCCCTCTCCCTCTCCCCCCCCCTCCCCCCCTCCCCCCCTCTCCGTCTCCCTCTTTCTCTCGCTCTTTCTCTCTCATCCCCAGTTGTGGCCTGGCGCTCTGGCAGCTGAAGCCTCGCACGTTCTGGCATGTCGGATTCAGATGCCGACTCCTGGACAAGGCTTTGACATGAATTAGCTTGACATGTCTGAAGTTTGCTTTGCGAAAGGGCCCGAAAGGGTGTCACAGCACAATTTCTTGTCTGAAAATACTCGTTGGCTGGCCTGTGCCTGTGCTGGGACCACACCACCACCGCGAGGGCCACTGCGAAATGCAGTGGTGCAGATGGTGACTGCACGGCTTTGGCGGAACACAACACCCAAGAAAGGCCCAATCCTGAGCAGAGAAGCTACGGGCTATACGGGACATTACAGAGCTGAATTCAGAATTTACAAACAGCCCCCTGCAAGTCCAAGGTGCAAGTGCCAGCCGATTGTGAAGGCCACAATGAGCAAAAACATCTGGAACCAAACGGGTGATGTTTGGTCACATGCTGCCCCACGAATGCTATCCAATGCTGCTTTCGAGGTTGTGACCTGGCCTCTTGGACAGTTGCCAGGATATCATGCAAGGATCCGACTGTGCAGTCATCCCGCGCTGCACGCGTAGGCAGGAAGCAAAGGCCCTCAACGTCTGCGCAAAAAGCTTTGCTTGAGAGGATCGAAACTGATCGAAATGCTAGCCATGCTCTGGTCGCCAAGAGGCTGCCACGATGGGAAATAAGCTCCTTGAGAAGGTCATGTCAAGAGATTTGCTTCACCTGGCGTCTTGGAGAGTCCAACTCCCGCCGCAATTGCTTGAACCTGTTAAATGAAACCATGAGTAGCCATAGGAAACCAAGGTGCAGTAGATATGGAACCAGGGCGTGAAGGCCCTAGGCAAGAAACTTTCTTTTGTGAAGAAGCCTCGGCTTGCAAGGTCTTTCACGGTCTTTGCCGTGTCCTCCGCTCTTGCTAGTTTAAAGGGCTGTAGGGTTTCGGGCTTCGGGTCATGGTGCAAGCCAAGTCGCGCTTCAAGCACTCAGCTACGTTACGTCGCAGAATGGTAAATAGTAGTAAGCGGAAAGACTTGAGTGGAGACTGCGGCGAGGCAAGCAAACGTGAAGCATGTCAGCATGACGGTTGCACGTCGGAGTGTGAGTGTGAGTGTGAGTGTGTGTGAGCGTGTCTGTGCGTGTGTGTGTGTGTCAGTACTTGTCAGTGGCTTTCCTCTCTCCCAAAGTGCCCGTGTTGGACCTGCAGCTTGCGCAACGAACGAGGCCGCCCGGGCCATGGGATCTGGTCAGGCCAGATCACATCGAATATCAGGCCTGTAATGAACCCATGATATCGACGCACATGTACACTGACCAAGAAGATCACCTTTACCGATGATTGGAATGCACCATGTGAGGCTTGCAACTTCCTATAGCTTTGGTCATGGTCAGGATGCTGGCTCTGCTCACAGGTCTCATCCCATCCCGACACCATGTTTGTGCTGACCTCTCCGACATTTCAAAAACCATAAGTACAAGATATAAGCTTGAGGAGAAAGACAGGGTTGGCAGCCAACGCAGTCGAAGGACAACCTGGCTTCATGTTGAACTGGCTGGTACACGAGATCACCTTTGCAGAACACGGCATTGACAGCAGAAACTCACAAGGGCTCTATGGCAGCCATGAGGCGCCGAATTAAATGCAGCCTGGAGCAACATCACAGGCATAGCCAAACAACTGCGTGCACAAATTGGAGGACGGATCCGCGTTGCCGTGACCTTTGTTGCCAGCGGCATGATTCAGACCGATTCAGACCGATTCAGACCTCCCTGTTCTGGGACGGAACCGGATCCTAGACTTGCAGCTTCCTCTCAGAAGTTCGCACCGGGCGTGGGCGGATAGTCACAGAGTAGCCTCCCCCCAGTCCGCACATCCAAGCAAGGTGAGAGAGAGGATGATGCTCTTATCTTCCCGGCCTACGATGCGCCGAGAGGTTGTCCGAGATTGGCTGATGGTCTGCAGCAAGGGCAGTGGGCTTCAATTGTTCGCAAATGCACGCAAAGGCTGAACAACCCTGACAATCTGGAGAGCGGCCGGAAATCTAGGCGAATCCAAGCCCGATGGAAGCCCTCGTATTCCACCCGCTTCTGTTGGCACGATGAACTGCTTCAGCATGGCGGGCAGGCATCGATCTGAATAAAACACAATGATACCGGCCACTTCAAAAGACCCCAAGGGCCCAAGAGCGCTGCCGGCCACAGCACGCCAGCCCACTCTAAGAGGCGAAAATATCGAGAGGAACACACCGAATCGCAGATCCCCTTAGAACAGACTGAAACGATCCTTCTTCTAGAGATGCGGCAGGAAAGTCGTCCCTGTCATGTTGTCGCGACACGGAGCGAGTGAAGTCCTAGATTACATGGGCCGCGAGCATACGAGAGCACACGAGAGCACACGAGAGCATGCGAGAGCATGCGAGAGCATGCGAGAGCACATGTCGGGGGATGGAATGCACGCGGGACCTCGGCGTGAGGGCACTACTTAAGTCTCGTCGGGCCAAGCGGAAATTCTTGTTCTTACATGTTTTCACTGTGAAAGATGCGACGGTTGGGCTCCAACGGCCTCGCTCGCAGGCGACAACGACACTCAGGCTCAAACTCCTAAAGGTCCTCGCCAGGTTGGAGACCAGTCTCGAGCTGTTTGGGAAACTAAGACAAAACCATTGCAGCAGCAGATGCAGCAAGCGGGGCGCACCCGAAAGGCTGCATAGCCTAGGCCAAGCACCAGCTTCGGCATAAACTGTCACCAAATATTTCCAAACACGACTTAAGCTGCGAGCGTTTTGCCACCTCCGAAAGCTAATAAAGCTACGGGAGCTTCCTACGAGCCAACTACGAGAACCAGCGTTGAGGCCAGAGCTGTGCTGCGAGGCCGCGGCGAAGGCCTTGGCCCACGCCTGCGCCTTCCGCAACAAACTGCAGCTGCACTCACAGCATTCCTACAGCTTACATCTTGACATCCCTGACAAAACTAAGTTATCATAACACCTACATCCGCAAGCAGCAGGGTTAACCATCCCAGCCCTTCTACATTAAAAACAACTTGAAGAGTGGTTCTCCCGCAGTACCTTTGTCAAATTGCGTTCACGAGGGGTCGGTGCTTTGTCCTGGTATTTGGCACCCAGGCTTCACCAAAAATAGCCCAAGCCCCGAAACCTCGAAACCCGAAAAGACATCAAAACCTGAATCTGGCTTTGATGTTTGCCAACAACTAGAGACTGCGACCCTAACCTGCCAGGAGGCACTGGATCCCTTACTTCGCCCCATTCGAGACGGCCTTAACCTGTTTATCAGGATTCCTCCCCTTAAGACCTGGCCCAGGGGTTTTTTTCTCCACGATGCCGCCATCGCAACACCCGGGACAATCCGCCAATCAACAAACACGCACCCACGCACCCACTCGCCCCACCCTTCCCTGCCCTACCCACGCCCGCTTGCGCACTTATTTGTTGTAGAAGGGGGGCACGCCACACCGGCGAGGTCTGCTACCATCTCCAATTGCAAGTGACTTCGTTGGAAGCAGACTTGCGATGGTGCTCCCACCCTCCGCTGAAAGTGTAAACGTGCTGGAATGAAACCAAGGCATATGGACTTTTCATGACTTTTCTTTCATTCAGAGTACGACCTCATTTCACGAGCAACTTTCCAAACTCAAAACTTCCAAATCTGCCAGGGCATGCGTCTGTGTTCTATATTCCCATGTCTGTGTTCTATTGTTCTATATTCCCACGTTTGATAGAACCTATGGAGCAAGAAGGCCTAGTCTCAAAGACACCGGCCCACGCAAATGTGGAAAGTTGTCCTTTCTATAAAGGCCCTTGAATGATGAGTTAACTTGAGTTACGCTTTGCAGCTACAAGCGTATCGCAAAATCAAGTTCTGTCCATGAAACCAATGCAAATGCTAGCGTTAAGTTGGAAGAGGCCAGCTGCTATGACCAGCATTGCTAAATATGCATATCCGGGCTTCTTGGAAATCATGAAACATCAAAGACCCATCCACGTTTTAATTCGACTTCATGATGAAAATCAAAGGGCTAGTTTTGTTTATTGGTCTGCGTTCGTGTATCGCCTTTTCGGGTGCTTACAGATACGAGCGACCGCACGGCAAAAAGAACAAGCAACAAAAAGTACACACAACGACCGCACGGCAAAAAAAACTTCAACCCTAATTAGGTACATTCGTTGAACTAACATAGCGACGATAACAGTTTTTGCGTTTCGAGACCGAAGAGAACAATCGGCTCATCGGTTGTCAATAACTGTATTTTATTCTCTTTCAATACTCCCTGGCCACACAATAGCTGGCTGGCCTGCAAAGTATTTCTGCTGGGAGGTATTGACGAATATGGTAATTACGTGTGGTACATTTACTAGTGCCGTTCATGCAATAACGGAGAAAATATCTCAAAGCCGTGGATCATTTGCCTTTTGTTTTTGCAATGCACATACCGAATCCTACAAAAACAAAAAAACCCGCCTCGTAGGGTCAAGTGCATTTGCGTTTTTTGCTGTGCAGTCGCTTGCGGTCGCGGGCCCGGGACTCACTCCCCCACTTCCGCCCCCTCGGCTGGGTTGGGTTAAAAAACAACCTCAGCTGCAACGTAAAAATCTCGCCCGGATATAGTAGTTGTTCAATGAACATTGCTAGCCCTGATCACGAAACAAAAAACTAGCCGCAGTTCTCACAAATCTGTTGTTGGCGCTGTCCTTCATTCTTTCCAATATTCCCGGCCATTCAAACAATACGAATCCAAGAAATAGTTGACTTCCAATTATGTTAAACAAAATCACAGACCTATTTCTTTTTCATGTCGGGTGGGGTGTCCAATTTTCTCGACCCGTTAAGTATGTGCAAATACTTAAACATTAAATTAAACTATCCAAACCCTGTCAGGCGGTTGCGTTTAAGCCTGGGGGGACAACCTTATAGTTAACAAGGCTGTGATCCCATAAGGTCGAGTCTATTCTAATCGCTTTGCAAACGAAGTCGCGTTTCACAGTTACAAGCCGGTGCTACTATTTCAATGAGTATAACGAGCCCTGATTTAAAAATACAAAAAGAGCCCCAACTATGGTAACTATTCTTGTTGGCACAACAAAAGTACAGCACAAAATCACACGGCAGGGTTTTGTAATGACATTAAGACTTGCGAGACAGTGGGCGTGAAAAAGTGCTAAAAGACTCCAAACTCGAGGGTTTTCCAGGCGAGCACAAGAAAAGGCCGCAAATGAAACACATCACCTGCTTATATATATATATATACACACACATTCGCACTACAAGAATTCGGTCGTCAGAAACGAGTTGCACACGACAGGAAAAAGAAGCAGAGCACAGTTACATGTTGGCTAAATAAACATAGGCAACATTGTCAATCACAGGGCTTTAAGCATGTGGAGAATGCATGGGGGCGCTTTAGCATTGTGCAAGTATGCATTTCGAGCCTTAATTGAAATGCCGGCAAATGCCAAGCACTTAGGCATTGTTTACGTAGCAGTTCAGCGATAATTCTAACGACATCGCGGATGTTCGCGCCACCCCTTCAAGCTCGGGACCGCAGTATTGGCGAGGCTCTCGCACTTTTGGACGACAGTCACGAAGATGGCGAAGAGCAGGAGCCCCATCACTGCAAATGTCCACACATTATCACACATCTGGAATGCAAAGGAGATACGGGACTCCAAATGTTGAGGGGGACCCTCGCGACCAGTTGCGGCACTATTCCACCCCAGCTCCGCATTCGGGAAAAACGGCTGCCCGGGTGTTTTTAAATATGGGGGTGAGGATGGGTTCAAGAGACGTCAAACATCCAAGATCACTCGTCCGCAGCCTTGGCCTCAAGAATGGTGCCCACTTGTGGAATGCCGCTGACAGGCCTGTGGCTTTCGGACAGGACCTTTTTCCAGCTGTTCGCAAGGCCAGCCCCAGTGGCTACGGTGAACTTCAAGATTTCAGATTGATTTCAGGTTGAAACGATCCTGGCTGTCCCAAGCCGTATCGCCGATGAAAGTGTCTTGTTTTGACGCATTCTCTATTCTTCACTATCATACTTCTCCATACTTACGTCGACTCATGTCTGCGCCTGCGGTCTGCATTGTTTGGTCGCATTTGAGGAGGGAAGCTGTCGAACTTCACAAGCCGAAATTCCCTACACTGCTCTTGGCAGAACTGCGGTCTCTCTGCAGGCACTGTGCAGGCTCTGTGGCAGCTGGGACTTCACAGCCAAGTGAGCCGAAGTTGAAGTGTGCCTGAAGCTAGAGAGGTGAAACGAAAAGCCTGACCGTCATCATCAGAAGCATTTTGAAAGCAACATCCTTAACATGTGCTCTCATAGTTCGTCGAGACTTTTGCTGTCAGGCACGCAGAGCAGTTCGGAAGTCCGAACTTAAAGTTGGTGGTCGACCCGCTAAGACCCGCATCCAACAATAGCAATAAAGCAACGCTTTTGGAATTTCGGAATCTTGGGATGTGAAGTTTGAGCTTGTGCCTGAGGCATCTGGAGATTTCTTGCAATTTCTCGCCCTTGCTGGCACAAGCAAGCTGAGGTCCACACACAAGAAGGCTTGAAGAGCGAGGTGAGCGATTCGGCTTTTGCTAAGTTTCTCCAAACCACACCACCACTTAAACCCGCTACATGAAAGCATCATGTGACATATCCTTAGAGCATCAGAGGATTGGGAACCTCCAAGGGGGCCATTGAGCTTACAAACCTACAGGAGGGCCTACAGGCTTGACATGTCAATTTAAGACAAGGCCAATTTAAAACAACGTCGATTGGACCAAACCCCATGCCTCTAAGATCACCTGCAAAAAACACATGCAAGGAAATGCTTGTGGCCCGAAGGGACACTGGGACGGGGGCTTTGTCCAGGGATTCATAAGATCTGTGAACCATGAACCCATCATAAACCTTTTCTTTGCCACGGACTTCCGCTCACTTGCCTCATGCCGCTGATCTCCGTCTCAGTGTAGAATCTCAAAGAGCTGGTCCAGCTTCAGGTCCACATTGGCCATCTTGTTCTGCAGGCCAACCCAGCACGTATCCATGTGCGTCCGCATGTCTGCAAGCTTGTCTCGCAAGTTGTTCTCTGCAGTTAGACCACCGTCATCTAGATTGCCTGTGGAACAACAAACTGTTGAGGAGATATGCTAGATGTGCTACACCAAGTACATGCACAATGTGATAAAGAGATTCAGAGCAAGCTTTCCTCTACTTCCTCTGGAAGGGCCTGCGCTGTCATCTGCCCGATAGCATATCCAAAGAAAGTGCTCCTCCTTTGAATAGGCCACCCCTTCCATGCTGAACCAATCGCACCTGGGCAACATGCGGCGTGCAAAAAGAAATACGTAGAAAATCGATCCCTCCCCAGTGTTTTCCTCCACCTCAATTGAAAACTCGATCCCTTAACTCAACAAAGCTGCCAGGCAGGGTTCAAAAGATTATTCATGCCTTACAATCAACCGGAGTGGGGGTAGTGTTGCTGGCATTTGGGTCTTGACATTGACATGAATGCAGTTCCAGAAAGGCGTACTAGAACCTCAAGCCCCCATATCATCAAGACACTGCAAGAGGGCCGCTACCATGGCCACCTCGGCCACAGCCAGGACGAGCGCAGCGATCCAAACATTGACAGACAGGTACATGGGGGCGACTGCGCACAAGGTGCAGGTCCCAATTGACCCTGCCAGGAGCAAACGGTTGATGCGGTACCCTTTCCACGGGAGCGTATGACCAGAAAGGAAATACATCAGACAGTATACCGTTCGTGAATGCAGAAAATGGTGGGGAATGTCCCCTTGTACTCTGTTGTATTCGCTGCTGTACACAGCAATGATGAGGTTCAGCACGATGACGCAGAAAAACGAAGAGCCGATGATGCTTACCTCTGTCATGAGCGCATCGTTGTTTTCAAACCCTTGGCTGACGTCAAGACCGAGATTGTCAAGCCCCATGCCAGAGCCGAAGAGCAGACCTCTGTAGGCGGAGGTCAGAACCCAGCCACTCTTCCTGTTGCTGTCAATGATCAGGAAGGCAAAACAAAACGATGCAAAGATCATCATGGTGATGATCATGATCTGACGTGTGGCGCCCCCGACTAGGGAATTTGAGATAGCGTGGATTGGCACTCCTGAAGCATGGAGGCGGCATGTGTAGATGATGGTCCAACTCCTGAAAAGCACGTTCGTTGAAAGAAACAGAAGCTCCTCCTCAGGAAAAGCCGTCAGCTCGTGTACTAAACTTTGTGTGCTGTAAGAGAAAACCAGTTGGATAGTTGAGAGAGCCAGCGTCGGAAGGCACCAACTCACAAGAATGGGCGATCGCAAGCTCCACATGCTCTGCATCAGTGGACTGGTGTGGCTCATTTGCTTGCTCGACCAGTTAAAAACCAGCACACACAACTGCAAAGCGTCCCGAAAGCCACCAGAGGTCATGATGATCCAAGACAAGCGAGCCCATCCACCCGCATCAGTGTCGTCTGGGAGTGCTTGCAGCCCTGCTAGGCCCCAATGAACACAGCAAGTGAGCTCGCACACCATGCACAGGAGATTGAAGTACCATGCGGCCTGGAACAAGTTCTCCCACAAGCAGTGCACAATGCCCTGGATCGACAGCTTAGAAAAGACAGGCAGGTCCGCACTCTCAATTCGCGACATTGCCATAATAATGTCCATGTCGAGCATGTTCGGTATGAGGAGGGCCTTGATGCAAATGCTGGAGATGTGGTCGCGGCTTTGCCTAGACTTATGGACATTTGGAGTGAAGTCCTCATGCCACTGGATGTTCGGCTGCTGATCAAAGGATTTCTGGCTGTCAAATTTCCAGCTCGGGATGAGAAGGCTGTCTTGCACAACTACATCTGGACGGTAAGTGCAGCGCATGGGCACATTGCTGAAGAGTCCCCAGAAGCTCGTCTTGTTTGGCACATTGTGTTTAGCCACATCCTGCACATGCGGCTCGACCATCAGGAGGTCCAGCATCTCGCTTGCAGCCGATGGCGCCTCGAAGAAGATGGCCGCCTGCGTCTCGAAAACTGAACCCCGTCTACCCATTGAACCATTTCCTACCCAAGGGCGGTCGAACATGGAGCTGAATTAGAATTGCATGTGCAAGTTTCTGCCTGCTTCATGTTGGTCACAGCAAACATTTTGGTCAGTAACTACCGGTGTCCCTCGCGCAATCTACATTGGTCAATCATGATCCATATTCATGTAAGGCACCATCATGTCCGTGCGTCCGGAAAGCTGAGAGTCGAAGCGCAAGTTGTGCAAAAGCTCTGGCTGCCGGACGGAGCGGCGTGCCAACTCTCTGACCACTTCCAGAGCAGCGTCCTCATTGAGACCCACCAGGAAGAAAATGTCGCTAAAGAACGTCGGCTCCGAGAGGCTGTTGAGACACGGGGCCAACACGTGCATCATGTGCTTCGGGAAGCGGCTCCCGTCCAGGGCCGCAAGCTCCAAAGGCGTCTTGTTGGCCATCTGCTTGTTCGGGTTTTCCGCCGGCACTCTCACATCCAGGCCAGCACGGTGCCTTCCGTGATAAGGAGGGTGTGGGACACTGCAAGTTGTAGCTCTTTCTCGGTCACTAACAACCCCATCATGCACAAATTCTTAATGGCGTTTAAGAGCATGTCAAGGTAGTTTCATGCCATGCTTTTTGATGCTTTTTGGCAACTCATGCCTGAGCAGAGACTGGACAAGGTGAGTGACCTGACTCTCAGCTTCCAGGCCACCTTCAATTCCTCGCATGGCTACGAAGTGAAGGGGGCTCACGCCGTCTTTGTTGCCTGCACACGCATCGGCACCATGGGCTAGCAGCCAAAGAGACAGCTCCACATTGCCTGCATTCGTCGCATCATGAAGTGGCATGTAGAAATCCTCATCCCACTCCTGTACGTCCTGCATGTTGGAGTTTGCGTTTGTATTGGTGTCTTTTTGTTGGTCCACATGGTGTACCAAACATGGTGTGTTCACATAAGCGGCAAAGTCGATGTCTTTGGCTTGGGTTACATGCTGCAACAGCACCTCCATAACAGGCACGGCGCCCAGCCCAGATGCAACATGAATTGCATCTAACCAGGCTTCATCCAAGCTGCCTGGCTTCAACCGGTACTTTGCTTTGGCACTAAGATCTGAATGCGACAGGTGCGGCAACAACCTGGCAACACAGGAGCTTTCATGAAGCTGGGCAGACACCCACACAGCGAAGTGTAGCAGCTGCGCTCTCAATGGGCGACCCTTGTAGATCATGATGGCATTCATCTCTTCACCAGTTCCGCCCCGTATCTTCTTGCCGTAGAGTGCGTCAAGGAGCTTGTCGCGGGCCTTCTGCACTTCATCGACATCGAGGCGATCATCCAGCTCCTTCTTTGAAGAAAGGAGGAGGTTCTCCAAGAAGTTGATGGGCAGGTCCAGCACCGCATCGGAGTGCCGGTTACGTGTGTTACCCATGTTTCCCAGCTGCTCCGACAAGGCTTGCCGCGTTCTGAGGCTCCTTTTGGCCTCGACCTGATCCTCGCCGTTGGAGCCGCGTGACCCTTGTGGCCTAAACATCGCGCCAAGGGCCTGCATTGCGCTCTATTGCTACAGTATCGACGGTAAATCTTCTGGTTTGGAACAGAAGCTGCACTACCTCCCACATCCTCCAACTGTGTACAGGTATTGTTCATGGCGTTTGCAAGTCCATTTTTGTCGACGTCTAACTTTCCTGGCCGGCAAAGCAGCCGACCCTGTCTACAGTGGCAAGCCAGGGCTTTCCCGCACTGGAAGAATTGGCTGCACTGACGTGTCGGACTGTGCTTCCAGGCTCCGCAATGTCTTGGTGCCCTGCATGGCTGCAGGGGCCCAGCTAGCATGCCGGACAACCTGCATCTCTATTCTCTCGTCCGTACTAAACACATTGCAAGCTGAAACACGCAAGTCCACATAGCTTCTTGGCTCAGTGATGTTCGATTGTCTGCCCTCGTCCAGCCTTGACTGAGATGGAGGTGGGTTCCTGCACGGCCCTTCCTGCGGTGGCTGGCAGCCAGCTCACGTACCTTCAGAGCTGAAGCAAAATTACAGCTGAGCCTGCCTTGGCTAGAAGCTAGTCAAACGGAAAACCTTGAACACAATGAGCTCACACAATTGACTGTTGCACCGCCCCTCCCTCACGCCTCGAGCTAATCGGTCCGCCGAAGGCTGCGCACGAGGGAGAGCAGGTCTGCGAGTGATGTCTGCACGTGACCCTTGAGCAGCACTTTCGTGGCTCTGGGTGTTGTGACGTGGATCTCTTCCCCCCTCACCACTCACCTGCACAACTTTGCAGGTCCATAACTTGCCTGTGGCGTAGCGGTTGGCTTCCAGCTGATGGCCCTGCCACAAGCTCGCTTTATGTGTGGCGACAATGTGGTGCTCAAGGCCAGATCGACGGAAGGGGACAGCATCTAACGACTTAATTCACAAAGTATTGGCACATAAATGGAAGGGGAACAAGCCTCTGAGATGGCTGAATGTCAGCCCCTATAATGTTAGTTACTACGGCATAGCCGACTCCAACTAGCCGCCAGCACGCACCTTCCGGCCGAGCTTTGGTTGTCCAATAATGGATCCTCAGCAACACAACAAAATTCAATAAACATGAACATGTACCGACTCGATCCAATTCGCCTTACGTGGCAAGACTTTTCTCAAACTGAAGTTGGCTCAGGAATCCAAAAAAAGCGAGACCCACAAAGACTGTGCAGCATGACCCGAACTTCCACCAGGGCAACGGCTGACGGAAGCCCGCGCTGGCCTCGATCCAAGCAATGCCGCAAGAGCTTCAAAATGGGTAATGCAGGGGTGAGGATACGTCCAGATATGTCCAAAAAATGTCCACACATGTCCAAGAACCACGCCCTCCAGCTGCGCACGCAGCTCAGCCCCACGAAGGCCGGGGGAGCCAGACCTGCCACATGCCACGATCTTCAAAGACTGATAAGGATGGACAGACAAAATGCGGCATCCGTGTTTCCACGTGCTTCCAGGTGCCTCCGCTTTTTCCTCCGACAGCCCCAACGTCTGGGCTTTCGACTCGCTCCCTTGAGCTTTGGTTGACTGGCTGCAGGGTCATCAGGGTCTTGGTTCGCTGCAGGGCACAATGCGATGTGCAGACTGCACTGGGGCTTCTGTGATCTAGAGGGCGGATGAGGGCGGTGCTTTTCGTTTCACCCGAATTCTTTCAGCGAGGTGCGCGTTGACTGGAAATCGCCACTGCGTGTTTTATTGGTTCGGGACTCCACTTGCCGACTCCCAACCTCTCGCGTAGCAACCACGCCCCCCCCCCCCCCCCAACGTGCCACGTAACGTTGCCAAAGCCTCTTTGCCCAGAGCATGTCTTAACGAATCTCGGATACCATCCCTATGCAGCCGGAATTCCGTGCCGCAATGCGCGAAGCAAGACACGGCCGCAACGCCTAGTGTGGAAGCATGAATGGTTCAGCTTAGAATGCTTAGACCTCCTGCCCCTGGCTTCGCAGCTAGCCACCAAAGCTCTGGCTCTTTATATGATACTTGTGCACGCGACGCGTGGGATCAAGTCGGCACGCGAATGCCCCAGAGTGCAAACGCGTTGTACCCTGTGGCAGCGCATTCTGCATCGTCACTTGCAAAACCTATCAGCTCTCTGCACATGTCCTTCCCTGGAGTGCTACTCAACTGCTTCAAGCCTTGGCTATACTCACCTCTCACCACTCTCCCCTTTCAGTGTTCAGACCTCACGCTGCGAGCATGTCCTGACTGAGAGTGTGGCACCTCTAACACGTGCTTGGAGTGGCTGTTAAGATCACGGGTGAAGATCTATAACATAATGGCGCAGTGAATCCACACATCGTTCGCGCCTTTGCATAGTCTGCAAGGCCTTCTCGAAGACTGGCATTCTTTGCCGTCTAGGCAGGAAGCGAATTGATTGCAGGGTGTCATGTTACACAATGGCTGCTGGTATCTGCATGCAACTCTCCAGTTCTTTGTCTGCTTGGCACTGCCACCGTCGACCTTCGCATGTGGAGGATATGCTGACCTCACGCATGAGGTCTTCGCATCCCACCAATCCGGTACAGAGCCGCTGTTGGGCATCCGGGTCGGGGATGAACAGCATGGTGTCACAGTGTCATTCTGAGGCTGTTGGACCAGGGATGCTACGCGTTTTGCAAACAAAATCTGCCTTGGGCAGAGGGCTACAGCGCGTGGAACACTTGATGCCGTTCGGGCCGGATGTCCTCAACAGCTGGCGAGACCGAAAGCCTAGGCAGAACAGCAACATCCTTTTGCAAGCCTACGGCCAGTACCATCTAATGACTGGAATACTGGAAATACACAATTCGAGGCCTTGAGGTCGGCATCCGCACTCGGAAAATTCGACCCACTTCTTCATAGAGTTAGAAGATGCTAGAGTACATGCAGATGCCAGCACGCATTCTGGCGATTTCTTGGCTCTGCAAAACCAGCTGGACAAGCTGATTGACATGTCGTTTCAGTTCTGAATCTCTAAGCTCGGCCCAGCTTGGCTGTGGCTTGGCTCAGCTGCCCATATTTTACAACTGCGGGAGGGGAGTCTTGAAGTTAACTTGCACTACCCGGTCACTATCCTCTCTACTTGCAGGACTTCTCCTTCCATCCACACGACCAGGTTTCATTTCACCCCAGCACAAGAGTACTCGGAGGAGGGGCTACTGGATCCTCAGCACAAAGGTTTCTCGCTGTCTCCGCTGCACACTGCACAGAAAGGATGTGACTTGCTTCAGGGTGTTGCGTCGTGGGGCGACCCTAGCCTCCGGATTCAAATGCCTATCCTTAGAGGGCGCGGAGCATCAATACACGTCACGCGGATCTTTAAAACACTGAAGGGCCAAGGCTCGTGAGCTTACCCTCCTGGGGCTGGGGCGCGGGTGGTGTGATTCAGAGCCACCCATAAACTCCCACTGCCACACCATCAACCACCCAAGCCATGTCTTGAGACTAGGCCAGAAGCCAATCAAAGCCGACACGCGATGAGGGAACCTTTCTCAAACAATCGACGGGCCGACATCGAGACTTGGCGCCTGGGTTGGGGCGATTACGAGCTCGCAGTATGCACTGGAGGCCTGACCGTACCTGCGCTTCCAAGGATCACGTCCTAAGAACTATACCGTGAGGAGCTTAATGCGAGTCATTTTTCGTGGCTTGGGCAAATCCTGTGACCACGGTGTGTTTTGCCGAGGCTTACTAAAGTATATAGATTTGCTATCGAACGCACAGGAAGTGAGGACCTGGGCCCTGCCTTGCCATTCTGTTGTCAGTGGCAACAAATCGGCAACAAGTGACTCCCAAGCCCTGTGTTGTCTGCGTTGCAGCCTGGACTCCAGCTGCCTGCCCACTATCTTGTCCGGGCCGGCATAACTCTGCCAGCCAACCTGGCCAGTCGACTGCAGAAGACAAACGTACACCAACTTCAACCCCGTTGCCATGAATGTGGTCCTTGTCTATTCCCTCCCCTCCCTGGCTCCATCATGATGGGTTTATCCGGACGGCCGAACAGAAACAGCAATCATCATTCCGCACCTCTGACGAGGAAGTCACTGGTGCAGATAGGCGATCCTGGGGCCATAGCCTCCTGCGGCCATGACTGGCTAACGTTTAGCGGACCGCATGGGTGTCTAGTACCAAGCTAGGATTTGGGCACATTGTTGGCTGTGGCCCCCCCGCCCCAACAAGGGCACATGGAACATCGTGAAAAACCCTGTTCACCTTCAAGATGTCATGCGATGCCGAGTATCTGGGCCCCCTTCTTTTTTCTCCCTTCTCTGCTCCTTCGTGCATCCAAGTAAGCTTTTCGGCCCTGTTGATCATAAGACACGCCGTGGTAGATCAGCTCTTTCATGTCTGGTCCACTCCTGGCAGGATGTGGAGAGCCAGGCGACGCAGATGCAACTCACAAGGCGAACGCTTGGTCGCTGGAGCCTCAGCTGCTGCTCATCTTCAAGCTTCAGCCTGCAGGACTTGAGGTTAACTGGGAAGTCGGCGGTCTTTCCTAGTTTTTGCTCGGTGTCAGGTTACGGACCACTCGAACAATATGCGAAAATGCATCCAGCAAGCTCACAGACTATCCTCTTGAACAATTGTTTGAGCGTTTCGCAAAGTCGGTATACAGATAAGGAATCTAACGACGCGGTCCGGCTTTGGGAATCTGGAGCAGCAAGCTTCCACTCCAGGCTTCAAGCTCGTTTCAGAGTCCGCGGGAAACGTCGCATAATCGTGAACCGACATACTAGGCTGCTAAATCGGAGGCAACACTGACAAGAGTTTAGTAAGCTTAGATGGCCCCACTCAATACAACACAATACAACTCAACAGCCGAACGTTGGCCTCTGTTCGATATAATGCTCATTGCAGGACATCATCTCCAACTGCCGACGAGGCCGTTGTAGCGCCTTGGCAAGCCAGGCATTTGGCCCTGAACTCTGGGTTAGCGAGAGGCTGTCCACGTGCCGAGTGGCCGGGGCGGACTCAGCGTGAGAGAGCCTCGAAGTGCTGCTCGCCGCGTCCGAAGCTGCCTTGCATTAGCGCTAGCAACGGTGCAAAGCATCCATCAGAATCGCAACACACGTCCCAAGACTCCCCGGACCAGATCGCCTGTGAACACGAGGGCTTGCATTCCACCGTTGGCGGCAGAGGCACTACCCCCTGCTTCAGGAGATACTTCGCCTCGGCGACAGGGAATGAAGCAAGTGCTGCTGAAGCAAAGTAATGTGTGCTGTGTGCAAAGCCGGGTAGCTCTGCAAGGGTCTGGATTTTGCCCAATCCAGCTAACACCACCCCGGCCCACTTGCGTTGCAGGCTTGCTCAGGTGAGGCAGTGATTCTTTCCAACCTGACCAGCCAAACGATTGTCGCGAGCTGAGTGAGAGGCCTTGCAAACTCGAGCCTTCCATGTAGCGAGCATTGTGCTTTTTGAACTTCTCTACGACTCGAACCTGCCAAGATATCTTGCTGGCTGTACGGGACGGGCTCTGCTCGTTGTCTGCATGTGCAGATGGACGCTAGGGCCGAGAACGCACAGCAAGGCAACACTCTGCGCTCGATCCAGCCTCCAGCGGCTTTGGCGTTGGCCTCCCAATCTGATTGCCAGCCAGCGGCATCGCGCTGGCTATGTAAATGCTGGGTGGGCGCCGTTTCAAATTCTTGTCGCTGTAGAACTGGGCGCTGTCCAGGGTACACCGACTTTGCACTTTGCACACTTCACAAGGGGTTTTCCGGATCAGCTTTTTCAACTCAATCGAACTTCCACGGGACACTTCATAGACTCTCATAGACTAGGCTAGAGAGCCATCACGCTGCGAAGTGCACACAGCAATACACAGCACGTTGTTCAAAACTGGTAACCATCATTAACCATCCCTTTTTCAACGGAGGTCGGCTGCTGCGCGCCGACTTCAAGAACCGGCGTGTTGACTCCCGGCACATCGAAGAGTAACCCATCCATTCATACTACAGATTTCAGAATATTCAGAATTAGCAAGTGGCTTTGTTCTGAGCAGCCAGCACTTTGGCATCTCTGGCATCCGAGTCCACAATCACTGCCTGCAGGTATGGTACGAATAGTGTACGAATAGTATGGTATGCTTCAACAACCGCTCCCAGGCCGCACAGTCCTCCATGCTACGAGATGTTGGGGCCAAAGTGATCTCCGTGCCAGACTTGGGGGTCCAGTCCATCAGAACGTCCTGCGTGTGCTTGCAGGATTGCGCGTTGTGGTGGCCTCATATGGCTCCATGCTGCTTTGGATGTTTGCAGTTTGCCTTGTCTCACCTTGTCTTGAACTCACGACACAACGAATACAACGGCTCCTTGTGGATGGCTGACGGCACAATGCCTTCTGGCACGTCCTCGGGTGAGCAGTTGGGCTCAAACGTTGGCTTGCCGCTCTTTCAGCGACGGGGAATTAACGGCACCCTTTTTGCTTAGATCCTGCAATCAAGTGGTGCTTTTGAACTTTCCAGGTGTCCTCTTACAGATTCGTGTTGGATTCTCTTACCTCGATCAGTCTGCTTGCGGTTTCTTGAGGGCCAAGGTGTTGGCATGCGTTGGAACTTGGAACAACTATAGGCAATACTTTATGAAGCGGAGGCTCCCTCTCAATCGCGTGCTTGGGGCATGGGACATGACTTCGAAGGCTGTCTGAAGGCTTGGTTAAACAGCGCACCATTTCTTGACAAAAGCCTATCTATGCAAATGGAGAAATACATGTGGCAACACATTCAAGGCATGACGTGCCTTGGCGGAAGTCGGCTTCAGCAATGAACGCAAAGGAGTTGGACTTAGTAGTTGCACAGCATACAGAGAGAGCGAGAGAGAGAGAGAGAGAGAGCGAGAGAGAGAGAGAGAGACGGAGAGAGAGCGAGAGACGGAGAGCCAGACTGTGAAATCACTTGGGGGTAAGATCGGTCAAGTCGAAGCACGGACGCTCGTGCAGTCAAAGCTTTAACATGCTTTAACCAATTTAACATTGCACGCTGCCCCACTCAAAGCACAAGTAATTAAGCTGCAGGCAGGCGAGGTGAGGGCTCGAAGTCCTTCCATGATTGCAAAGAGTGCATCCGTCTTGTGCGGGCTCACGCTTCACTCAAAAGTTAGGCGAAGTTGTGCTACATATCCCATACTCTTCGTGCCGTCCGGCAACATCAATGGTGGTCTTCGACAACGCTCGTGGGATAGTACATAGGTGACATAAGGTTTGGAGTTGCTAGGGCTTCAAAGCTGACTTCCGAGATTAGCTACGGACCCGGCAACAAGTTGCATCTCGAAACTTTGGTGACTCACGATTGGACCCGCCACTCGCTGGCGACAGCAACTGGGGCGCGCGTTCGGGAGCCGCGATTCTGGAACATCGAGGAACTGTGCAAAGGACTGCTTTAATCACTTTAATCCAATCCCATGTTGAAGGCTTTCAGAATCTCTCGCCTTTTCTTCCAGGCCATGCTCCTGCATTAAGCGCTGACACTCCAGCTGCTCGCGCCGATCGACTTCGGTGGCGGGCTCGAAAGCCACCGTGGCAGGCTCTGCGTAGTTGCCTTTTTGTTATCCGACGCCTAATGTCTTGCAGCTGAAGCTGCCTCAGCTGTTGCTTCCACGCGCTTCTTTCCTGCTTGCATCGTCGGTCTTGCGCATGTCGCCTGGCTGCAGAGAACGACGACTTGCTGACTGCAGCTGACTCAGCGCCAGTTCCTCGCTTTCTGTTTGGCTTTGGGGCAGCACGCCTGGTACTCCTCTCTTCAAAGAGCTCCTTGCAATTTGATAATATTTGATGCCTTCGCATCTCCGACATGAATACGGGTACCCAATAGTGCCTACCCCGTGGCTGGGCCAAACGCGGAGGAAATTGCAGTTTGGTATTTTGTCGTAGTATCACAGCTCACTACAGACCAGATTGGATGGTTCTCAGCACACCACAATGAGAAAGTACATGCAGCATGTTCACATTTGAGCCTCCAAAAGATGAGAAGCATCCCTAGACAAGTTGACTAAGATAGTATGATGAGCACGGCACTCTGGATAACCTGCTGCCGGATCGCGAGGCCCCCTTTTTTCCAATTTCGAAATTCCACGCACCGAGGTGTGAAGCCTCCGGCATCGGAGGGTGCGATGACTCTCTCTGAGCCCTCCCGGGATGCATTTTCCAAACTTGCGTCTGGGCTCACTTGGAACTCAGGACCCAGGGGCTGGCTGACTGGTTGTCGCAGCGCCTCTTGCCAAAATGTGCACTATTGTGCACTCCTGTGGCACTTTGTGCGTTTTCAAATTTCCATGGCGGCCACCTAAGACCTCACAACCCACAATCCTCCTCGTCACCCTTCGCAACGCCTCCTGTGGGGCTTGAGTAGGCGTACGCAGAATGATTCCGCAACGCCTGTGGGGCTTGAGTAGCCAATCGCGAAAACTATGCCGCTATGCACCCCGACGCGAACAAAACGCAGCTTGGCACGCGAACACGAAGCACAAGTCGAACGCACCCCAGCCAAGCCGTGGCGGTGTGCAGATTGATCGGAACATCATTCGTGTTCAACGTTTCTGACTCTCACTGGGCAGCCTGTCAAGCATCCTCTTTCGATTCAATGAACCGACTCGGCCAGAATACCGTGGACGGCTCATGTTCGTCGACATTTGCTGCCGCCCCTGTGCCCAGGATAGGTGAGGTAAATAAATGCTTTCCGTCTGCTTCCGCGACAATGACCCAAACCGATTTTGGCAATCAGTCGGGCTTTCCAGACGGACACATGGTAAGTTGCGTGGTCACGTCAAAGCCCGCCCAAGCATGTTAGTCCGGTATGACACAAATGGTACCAGCACAGTACTGTGCAGGCACACAAGATCACATCGCAAAACGCCAGGGCCTTGTCGCACTTCAGGGCGTGCCTCGCAAGATTCCAAAATCTCACTGTCGATGTCCGGAAAACAAGTTTGCTTCATGCAAGCCGTGCTCATGACTGACAATTTCATGACGCAAAGTTGACTCAACGCGACGCATGAGTGTCTACTTCTGAACAACATGCCCTTGGCAAGCAGCTTGCCGAGTGCAACATAGCCTGGTATTCGGTATTGACATACGTCGACTGGCGTGACCAGGCCATGATCAAATACTCTGCGCGCATGTTCCTGCGTGCATGTTCCGACTCATGGCCTGGTTTCTGAGTTTTTCCATGCACTGATCGGCTTTAGCCACAGAAAAAAGAAAAAGAACGAGGAACATCCGAAGGACATGAAAGCATGGTGCCGGGTTCTTTTACGACGAATCGGGGGCTTGAGTCCAGCAGATCTCAGCAGCTGACACATGAGAGGGGATTCACCAAATCGCTTCGTCGCTATGAACTATCACGTAACTCCCTTTCATGGGCAAATGGAAAGCCTGAGCTGAGGTCGCTTCGCAGACAGCTCCGCGACTGTCCTGCGCAGCAAATTTCGCGTGTCCGGAAGCAGAACCTCTGCCACACACTCGCGCACTCTTCTTTCTCTCGGCGCCGCGTGACGAAGATACTGCGTTCTTTCGGCTCACATGCACGGAGCACCAGGCCCCGCAAAGAGCATCCGGCAAGCCGCTGCCGTCGTTCAAGAGCGAAGCCATCATGCGACAAGCACACCTCATCTTTCTCAAACATGGCCACATGACTGCGCATCCTTCGCATCCTTTGGTACCTCCCTGGTGTTCATATCGAAGTTAGCTTCTCTGTCTATTGCCACCAGGCACCCCGGAGTCCCAAGCACGATTCCTTGAGTTTGTCACATAACGCAGTCAGGTTCTGGTCCGCACACGGCTTTTATGCCTAAATGCAGCATAGCTCGGAGAATTTTGTTTGCCGGGATTAGAGGCCAGAGCCGCCAAGTGTTGACGCCATTGATCCCCTGCTGAATGCCGAGCGGCTCCACCACCAACAACAAGCCCTGATGGATGAGCAGTCGGTGGACCTGTGCTGACTTCGCCAATTGTAATTCGTGTCTCGTGAGGCGCAACCCTCATGAACTGAGGCAAAAGCTGTATCCAGAGCTTGTTGCTGCATGTCCGGTGACCAATGATGCAGCACCATGGACAGGAGGCATGCGTCAAAGCTTTCAGCGGGGAGTGCCACAAGCTGCCGTCCTCTCGAAAGGTCTTTTTCAAAACATTTCATGACACCAATCGTTCGTTCGCAGCTGTGCCTTCACGGACAGCGCGCTTGTGCCTGGGCAGAACCTGCAGCTGAAGGAAATCGCACTGCCACACAGAGGTGTGGCGTGGGCAAATGTCCATGGCCGTAATCCGCCTTAGCGTGCAAGAAGATGATACGAGTCAAGTACGTGCTCTTGTGAACCCACATGATGTAAGGACCATTCGCGAGGAACAGGTGTGAACGAGCGGTTGAAGAGGTCACCGGCCCACGTGGCTTCGCATCGGTTTGCTTAACTGCTTTAAGCATTTTGACTACTGCTAGGCTTTTGAAGCCGGGGCACAGCTGATGACGCTCACTGGTGGTCAGCTCCGAATCCAACGCATTGTTGCAACTGCCTATGTCCAGAAGGCGAATCTCATCATCTTGGTCCAAATCCTTTCGAAGGGCACTGATGTCACAAGTAACCCACAAGCACGTCGTCCGTACATTACATCTCACCTGCTGTCAGCACAACTCCTCCTGCTCCAGCAGCACCGTCTTGCACCAAGACAAGCCTTGGATCACCTAAGCTCTCACAACTCACGGTTGACGAAGCCAATGCAGTCTTGGCCAAGCAGCCCCTGGTGCGCCGGCTTTCTCCAAGCTCGCATTTGCATACCTTGCAAGCAACAACAACGACGACAAGCGCCATGCAACTGACTAGGCGGATCAGGGTTTTTAGTGGCTACTCTGCCTGGCACGTCCCAGCTCATCCAGCTTGCCGACGTGGCTTTCCTTGTGGGATTCCGAGAACACCTGAGGAAGCCGAAAGTTCATCAAGGTCCGTAGGGCATGTAGGGCTTGACCAAGGCTCAAACAAAAACTCAACTCAACACAAACGCACAAAAAAAACTCAACTCAACACAAACGCACAAACAAAGGGACACACCTCGTGCAGGTGTCGCCGTCTCTGCCGCTGCAGTTGCGCCGAGGCATGGCATGGCGTGGAGGTGCACACGGCAAGCTCGGAACCGGCACGCCTTGTTGGACGAAGACAAAATGCCCAGACATGCCCAGATGTGAGAAGCATTTTTGCAGCCGCGGAACCAACCACGGAGCCGGCGCAGACTGTGAAATGTCAAGAGCATCCACCCGACATGACACGTGACGGTTTGGGACCAAAAAACGGCACTTCCATGGTGAATTTTAAGTGCCAGACTGCTGGCTCTGGGCTGCTCTGATGGCCACGGCTTGCTTGGTTTACGTGATTGGTTGATGTTGATGCTGTGCTAACCGGCCCATGGAGAGCACGACACATCGGGGCAACGCTCAACGGAATTCTCATATGCAGCCCCTGGTTCCTACTCGCTTGCACGAGCTAACTGCATCTGCCATTTGTCCACGTATGCGTTGTTGCCATGCGCCAAGAACTGGCAGAGGGTGGCCCTCGGTGTTGAGGACCGTCTTGTTAAGATCAAGCGGCTGCCGGTCCTGAGCGCACGTCCGAGCTGTACACGAGCCGAGGAGCCAGTTTGGCGTTGGGCTAGCCATGCTAGCCTTACGTCGCCCCTCTCTACAGATGTTTCCAGGAGATGCTTGGATCATCTTTGAGAAGTCGAATCTAAGAAAATGAAGGCAACCTGAAGCAACCTGAGCCCCCCCAGGCCAGGCATGGCCGGGCATCTCCGAAGAGCAAGAAGAGGTACTTGAACGTCTCACTCAATAGGAAAGTCTGCATCTCGTCGCGATGCAGCAACTCCTGGACATGTCTCCCGGAAGAGGAGAACCCTTTTTCTTGACGCTTCATTCACACTTCACGATCTCCATGTACATGTCAGAGCAGTTTGCCGCGGAGGCGCCGTCTCCGCTGTCACGTCCTCGATGCTGCTGTAGCCTCGTCAACTGCCCCCCCCCCCCTCCCCTCCCAACAACACAACGAACTTGGCCACAAGGGTTTCGGTCTACAGGCTATTCTATTTTGGATGGCTATCCACACCTGATGTACATGGCCAGACCTGAAGGACCTGCTGGCACCGGTATGTTTGCGTGGACGCCTCGAGGCTACTCGAGGCTACCGGACAAGCCAGAATCAGTTGTCATGGTGTTGTGTGCCGTTGCCGTGTGCAATAACATTACGATGTGACGGTCAGCAGCAGCGGCCTGCTGTCGGTTTGTGATGGGCTTTGAATGGATCGGATTGCGCATGTTGCAATGAGACTGGTGGGCCACACTGCTTGCCAAACATGGATTCCAAGTTAGAGGCGTTCAGTCGTGAACGAAGTGTTCCTCTTATATTGAACTCGGTGACTGCCTTCATCAGCAGGGTAAAACAAACTTGGATCACGACGGTCCAAACCCAGCTATTGGCCGGCGAACCATCCAGCAATTTCGGACTTCTACGTCTCACTGATAGTGATTACTGATAGTGCGTCTCCTGGGGGCCATCCAACGCGCTACAAAAGCCAGATGTGAGTAGCAACTTTACGGGACAGGATTCCGAAGCAGCACCTAGGTTCCAGTCTGTGAGTCAGGACCAGCAAGAGAGGCTTGAAACGCACAGATTCAAACAGCTGCTTTGACCGTGTGTCAGAGTCTAAGTACGTGCACCTCTGTTTGTTGACCGGGTACGGACACCTCATGTGCCACACTTGAAAGTCAACATCTGAAAATCTGAAAGAGCCATCTGGCAGCCTCAAAGATGGACGGCGGCATCTTCGTGAAACATCTTCCATGAAACAAGTTGCTGCACCCTCTTTTCTCCAAACCGTTTGCTGAGCCGGAAGGCTTTCAAGAGAGGCTCTCTGAATCTCTCTGCTCTCGCGCTCTTTGTGGCAAGGCACCGCCTGAGTCCAACCGCGCGAATGCTTCAATTGCCTGGAAGATGGCCCAGCCCCAGTCTTGATACTTGCGGTCCCCGGTTGCCAAGTACAGGTACCTGTCGAGCGAGTGTCCACCTCCTAGCCTCCTCCACAATACATGCGCTTCATGCACTACATTCACTACATGTGGCCCTTGCATGTCCTACAAGTACTCAGGGTCACCACAAGGACTCGACAGCCTCTGGTCTCAAACTGCAGTGTGTATCTTTGGGTGTTGCCTGGCTCGGGCAGCACTTCAGATACTGCACTGCCGAAGATTCGTAATCATTCTTGGATCTTCCTCAGACTCAATACCGCAATCAAACACAGTCATCTCGGTCAATGGATCCCCCCTCTCAGCCGGCCCGAAAGTCGCGGGAGCGCTGAGGCGCTCGATTCCAAAGGACGCTCTCGGGCGCGAGGCCTCCAAAGACCAGTCGGAAGCGTGCGAAAAGATGTTTAAAACCTGCGAACGTACAAGTGTGCGAAGAACATTCAAAAAGGTTTTTACTCGCCTCGAGGCGAGTCCAGCCACATCCTGGCGCAGCTCTCCGTCAAGTCTTGTGCCAAGCGCAACTCCTGTGGCCGGGAGGTGTGTCCGAGTCCCACGCCAGCGCTACGAAGGTCTAGACTCCACTGCGCTACACAGCAGGCAGATCCTCTGCGGGCTGCGCGGCTGCCCCTGTGAGAACTCCCAGCGCCAGCACACCCGGGAAGAAGCACGAGAGATGGTCCTTGCACAGAACCTCTGTGAACAGAGATGTGTGTGAGTATGCAAAGACAAATGATGACCGAGACCGGCTAATTGCACCGAGACAAAGCTTGGCTAGTGGGCACGTGAGAACTCTCGACATGCGAATCTCACAGTCTCTGAGAACTCAGGTTGATCAAGGTGGTTCAGCGGTCCATCTTGAACTCCTCTCGGCTCCAACAAAGGTCTTGCAGCTGGCCACCAATCATAGCATCAATCCTGACACAGCAATGGCAAGTGGGGTGCCCCCGACAGTCCCCGGACCTCCCTAAAGCCATCAAAGCCTTACACATTGCCAGCCAATGATATGTTCTCTTGCACAAACTTCGGCCTGTGCTGGCTGTTTGCAGAGAGCTGATGGTACGGAGGTGGCAAAACGATTGTCATCATCTCAGCGAGATTGCCGCGGTGTATGGAGAGCTAGTTCACGTGAATTTCGACATGAGTCGTAGCTGCGCAGACTTAGGCTCCAACTTTGCTGGCTTCGGCCCAACGGTGCGAGAGCAGCAGCTCCATCCTTTGCTGAGGGCTGTAGGAGTTTCAAAAGCAGAAGTCAGGGGGCAACCAGAGTAACAAAGGCAAAGCATCAAGACACAGGCTGTGTTCGCTGACAAGGAGGGCATGAGGATGTAGGCCCATGCTGGCGATCCATGCGAAGGCTCCTGAGCATGACACATGTGTCATTTTTTCTAGCCCCTGGCCCCTGAAGAGGTGCTTGCATATGTCTGCATACTGCAGGAAGAAGCGTCGGACGCGCTTCCTTGGCCACTCAATCCTGCAACTTCCAGCTCGCACGATGTTGACACGGCAAAACCGCAAGTCGACTTGATTTCCCGCATGATGATTCCTGTCGCGGCATCTGCAGATCCCGATGAACTTGAGGCCTGCCAGTCTGTTCGGAGAACAGCATCATGTTCATCACGGTCCGCAAAGAACGACCAACAAACATCAGCAAGACGCACCGATTCTCCACCTCCTGCCCTAATTCCGAAAGATTGGATGCTATCTGCGCATCGTGGAACTGGAAGAAGAAGGCCTTTGGAAAGGACTGTGAGTGGCACATAGCTCCTGGGAAGAAGTAGTAGGAATGTCTGAGAACGTGAGATGCGCACCAGGCCAGGTGATTCTTCGGTCGTCAAGTTATCCGGATCCCAAAGCCATCGATCCTTGGGGTGGGGTCATCATACGATGCATGCCCTCAACGCTACCTCGGAAACAGTCGATTTCGTGACTCCATGGTGTGCATGGTCTCGAAGCTGCAATCATAGCAGCCGATTGAACAAGCTGCGATATCGACTCCCACGTGCGGACTTCACCTCGAGGCATGTTGCTTGGAAAAGGACAGACTGCACTTGCGGAGTCGAGGCAGCTTAAGTACCCCTTCACATTGCCATACGCGCAGCTGCATGCAAGCCAGTCGCGTACAAAGGTGAAGTTGGAAGGGCGTGACTGGCCAACGAAAGCCCGACGAATGCCATTTACGCTAACTTGGTACCTCAGTATCTCAAGTAATCGGCCTTGGGCACGAGGACTCCCTAAACCGAGGTTGCACCGACAGTGACAAGGGGCCAGTTCTTGTACTTCTCCTCTGTGCGATTGGAAATGAGCCATTGCTTGAGCAAATACTCATAGAAAGAGTCGCCGCGACCACCGAGCGTGACCTTGGCATACGCCGCTAGCAGCAGAAACATACCGTTTTGCAGAGCGAGCTCTCATAATGTGCCTCCCTCATATAATGACCCTCACGCCACGCCGCACACCTCATTCTACTTTGGAGATTCAGGGATCACCCGCTGGAGATCAGTTGTTCCAAGTGTCCCTTTCATTCGTCCAGTGCATCGGTGGCTGTGGCTTCAGCCTGAAGAAACTTCGCTTCATCGGCTGAAGCATTGCATGCAGTCAAGCGAAACCCACCGCTAAACTTGCAGCGAGGCTCATGATCGGAAGGAGCCCCCCGTGCTCCTTGGACAGCACGCGTCCCAGAAAGAAGCACGCTGCACATTCGAGAAGTCCTTCTGTTCAATTCCGATTGTATTGCTATGAGTGAGTGAGTGAGTGCTGGCTCACTGCACGAGGTGGCACGTGCAGCAGCCGTGCCTTTGGCGCTGTTCCCTCCCGGCTTCCTCGGGAGCTCCGCAACCGTCATTGCCCCCTCCACTTGGAGTTCACGTCCGGCACGCGCCCCAACCCCAAGACAACGCTCTGAGGTCGGCAAGCCCGGTTAAGCAAAAGGGTTTGTCCACCATTTTGCACGGAACCACAACTAGGCAGGCCCGCCACCGGAAAACCGGCATAAAGGCAAGACAGCGTGCCATCCTCGCTGAGGCCCATGCAAAAAGCGCTTCCCTCGAAGATCCCTCTTCAAGGTACTAAGCCAGCCAGACAACATCGCCTCTGCGTTGGGCAACGCGCAGCCGCGTGCTAAAGTGCTAAAGCAGCAGGCACACTTCTCCGCAGATCCCTCTACGGATACGTGCACAACGTGACCCATGCTCTCCGGGGACTCATTCACCACCGTTTCCTGTGGGGAATGGCAGGCTCGGGCCATTCACCTGCAAACAGGTCCCTGTCGCTGTGCCCTCGACCCACCCCGGACGAGGGGGATTGTATTGCTATCATGCATGTTCTGTTTCCTCACTCGTCGGGATCACGCTATGACAAGGCCCAGGCACAAAATAGCACGGCCTAATTTCCAAATCGCATTGCTTTCCGAGAGCCTTTGCAAATGGGCAAACAATCCAAGGTATCATGATGCCGCCTATACAGCTTTAGAGCCGCCTCCCGCTATTTTGTAGATCCTGGTGGCCGGCGATTTGTGTTCATATGAATTCGCTCGTTCATTGGATTGTGCATAATTGTGTTTCCGTCCTAATCATCCTATTCCTCCAAAAATGACACGATTACCGCAGTGTGCAAGGAGCTGGGATGCCATAAACGCTCGGCACCCATCGAGCATATCTCTTCCAGATTCCAACCCTCATGTCTTCAAGGTAAGGCTCGACCAGAATAGGGCCCAGCAAATCCATCACCTGAACCATGCCAAGGTCGGAGACCATGCCATAGATGAACCCGTCCCCCCCCCTCTATGCGTGCAAGGCATAGGCAGGCCGGCCAGCACATGACACATCATGACACCCAAGAATCATCGTTATTCTATGTTATTCTTCTCATCGCTGCCGCGATCACCTGGGTGCCCCTAACGTGGAAGGATGCATCACCTGCCATCGGCAAAAGAACAAGTCCACAGGGGCCTCTGTCAAAGCTGGTGCTTGATCAAGTTGCCAAAAGCACCCAGCCTGTCAAAGCGCTCAGTAGAGTGAATTCACCTTAGCCAATGCACAAGCCAAGTGAGTCGCAAGTCCAAACAAACCGAGGACGGGAGGCGAAGCATGCAGACAGCCAAGGGGCTCTGGATTGTGCCCACTTCTGCTAAGCTTGACCCGAGCTCGGGCTCTTTGAAACTCGTCTGCCCATTCTTTAGGTTTACCTCACGAACCAGCGCATCTCATCTCCGAAGGATCCTACGAAAAACTGGTCCGTCATATTGCTCCTTAAGCATGGCAAGGGACCAGCTCATGGGGAACGGGACCCTCTCGCCAAGCACGAAGAAGACGCTGCCCAAGCCTCGCTTCAGCGCTGGCGAAGTCGGCAGGGTGCGACTGCCCATGCCCCACGGTACTTGGGAATCAAAGCCAGAACTTGAACTTGCAACTTAAAAGTCCACTGCTTGACCTCTCTTCCCTCGTTCCTTCCTTCCCCTTCCCCTCCTTCCTTCCAGCACGCCACCTCTCTCGCTTCCTCTCGCTCTCTCCTTTTCTCCATCTCTCTCTCCAGCTTGCTTGCTTTCTTGCAGCGCACATGGTTCCCGAAGGGACCGTCCCAAGGGGCGTGCTCAACCGAGTCAGTCAGTGTGAAAAGTGTGTGCACGTCTCGGGCTGTATACTACGACACGACAGTGAAAGAATCATCAACAAGACACGACAGTGATGACAAGACACTACAGTAATGGACGTGCAAACAACACCTACCTTGGGCTGGGGATGAGGGCACAAACATGGTGTGGTGGACCGAAGTTGAAGCAGGTCCCGCCCCGAATTGCGACCCTCTCCCCATGGCTCCCCCCACTACAGATTTGGCAGTGTAAAGGGGAGTGTTCCTATTTCCAAGGTTCCCTGCCACAGATTTGGTGGTTAGGGAGGAGTTTAAACTATTGAGCACATGCTTAGTATGAGCTGTGATGCGACTTGAAATGAACCCCCAACAACCGAACAACCACCCTGATCAACGAACCACACCCAGGGACCCACGAGGGTGGAAAATAGCGGGTTGTACGCTCTCTTCCTCTCTCTCTCTCTCCCTCTTTCCTTCTTCTTCTTCTTCTTCTTCTTCTTCTGCTGCTGGCTTTGGGGGACACAGGGACCCCTCGCACACGAGTGCGCCCCAAAGTCCTCTTCCTCCGTGAAACTCTTCTCAGAGCAGTTCACGGCTCTCACTCAGCCTCGGCGGGTCTTGTCGTTACTCGCTCTGGCACCTCCCCAGGAGGTCTGTGCAGGAGTTGTTGGGCGTTGGGGCTTTCGAGTATGACCTGCCGGGCTGTCTCGTCGAGCTCAATGGCACGGTGTTCGCCATTGGGGTTGTTGTTGGGTGGAGCTGCGGGTAGGTGGTGGGTCTCGCGTTCGTGGGTCAGCATCCAGGTCTTCCGCTGTGAGGAGTTGGAGGAACGAGTGCAAATGGGCTGCCACATCCGTCGCGTTGCTGTGGTTGACCTCTTGGATGGCGTGTTGGATGTTGCGGTCGTGCCGACAGGGGCTATTGGGGTGCCTTCGCCGGTGCTTTCTGGGACCCGAGGGTATCGCGCCTTGCGCACGCTCGGGCTCTTGTGCGCGGTGCTGGCCTTCTTGGGTTTCCGGAAGGGGGTGGTTGCGGTGGGCTGTCTGGGTCGCTTCCTGCGTTGGGCTGTGTTGGGTCTGGCTTTGTTGGTCTGCATCTGCGCTTGGTGGTCTGGTTCAGCTAGAGTCTAGAGCGTAGTTATGTGGGTGGTTTGGCTCTTGTGGTGAGGGCACTATTCGGGACGACTCTGATGTTCCCGGAAGAAAGGCGAGCTCTCTGTCTTTGTCTTTGTCTCTGTCTCTGTCTCTGTCTCGCTCCATGACCCCACTCATCGGGCTGGAGGGTGTACAAAAGCATGGCTGGAATCCTGGAACGAGTCGGGGCAATGCGGAACGCATCTTTCCACGAGGACATGCGTGCAGAGCGCGCTGAACCAAAGAAAGGGTGCAAACATGCGCGAACGCAATGCCGCATGACCGAAGCACAGCATCCAATCACAGGCACCCACCTCGAGCCCAGGCACGTCCAAATTTCCTGATCCGATACAATCCCGATACTTGGCATAAGAAGCTCCACAAATGCCGCATGATGCCGACGCACAAGTGGGCACATGCGGCAGGTGCCACGCGCTAGCCCCTTGATGTTGCCGACTCAATGTCACCCAGTTGGGTGCCGCCGACCCCAAGGATCTTTGTTAGGCCATGTCCTGTCTTCCTAAAAGGGTGTGGTTCTAGTTGATCCTTTCTTTCTATGATTCTGCCGAAGGGAGGAACCTCCGACGGAAGCGACTTGTTTGCGAGGAGGCTTGCGGCATGTGGCGGAAACGTAGGCATCGCCATTTGCAAGCAACGATGATCAGAATCCAGAACCCGTCGCAACCGACAGCAAGCACGTTCAACCTGAGCGGAGCAGGAAGTACACCACAGTGTCAAGACTGCGGAGTCGGAAGATGGGTGACGATGGCACGAAGCTGGGCTCGTGATCATCCTCCTGTTTAATGATGTTCAGCCCATCTTCGGAAAGTACACCGTGTAGGTAGGTCAGCTCCTCTGAGCTATATACTTTTTGTGTCGTAGTCGGGACTTGAACCCTGCACAAAAAGAATAATCCTCAACCACACGTCTGCCAATGTACCTGTTGTTCTGTCAAACCAAATCTAAAGACACACGCGGAAACAACGGCCACACAGACTTGGCAAACTCATTAATAAGCAGACAAGCTTGTGCGTAACCACGTGGGCGAAAGCACGGAAGTCAGCCTCTAGCATTGGTCGGAGTTTAGTAGGCAAGTACCCCAACCCTTGACATTCCAGCTTGCCAGGTTGCTGCGTTGCGTGCACCAACAGCTGCTCTTGCCCACTCAGCCCTGTCCACAACAGCCACGACGGGCCACGACCATCGCTACGCGTTAAGCCTTGCAAGAACATGGCACAAAGCATTGCAAATTGCCGAGGGGCCATAAGCGGAGAGAAGCCCGCCCAGCACGCGGATAACCGTCTCAAATACACTGACCTTTCCGCACGAGCGCTTCGCAGGAACAAAAGTTAAAAAGCATGGAAAGCCTAAAAGCCGCTGTGCAGATGTTTGCAATCGTTTACAGCTCGCCGAGGCCGGGGGCCAAGCTCTTCAGGTTGGAGAAGCAACTCAAATGGATCCACGATCCATCGCCACTCGCCCCTCTGTCCCACTTCTTCCTTGGAAAGCCTCGTCGTCTCATTTTGCATGTTTCGGGCTCATGGACACCCCAGCGTCCAGTGTTTCAGCCTCCGCGAAGATGGAAGGCTCGAAGAGAGCTGCGTTTCGGGCTCTAGCCCCAAACAGGCTCTGAGGAAGCTTTCTGGGAAGGATTGGAAGCTCTTGTGGAAGCCTTGAAATGGCTTGACTAGCTGTGCATGGCCCTGGCAGGCTGCAGGTCCGCCAGGTGAAGCCAAGGAGTTGGAAAAGAGGCAAGTGCTGGCCCATGCTGGCATATCTATCAACTGGCAAAGTAAGCTCATTAAGCTCCTTAAGCCCTTCAGCTCATACCCTAAAGTCCGAATTGTGTGAAAAACTCGATGGAATCTCAAGCCCCTTCTTTGGTAGCCCAGCAGCGGAGACGTCAAGATCGGAGCTGAAATTCCACAGGACCCACCTGGCAAAGTCAAACATGTGATCTGATAAGTTTTGCCGATCTTTACAGATCCGAAGTGACCTCTCGGCTTCGTAGTAGTCCTGCACGGCAGTGATGCTGAGGCTCACGGATGCGGAAAGCCGACGGGCACATAAATGCCGCAAAACAGCAACCTTCATCTCGAAATCCTCGTGCAGGCCCAGCAGCCAAAGTGAGTCCAGCGCGTCGATGATCTGCACGCCTAAACCTCGGGGCTCAACACGTCGCATTCCATCTTGCGCAGTATCCCCAACTACAGTTGAAAGCTCCTTGGGCAGTTCCGTCTTGCAATATCTTGCAATATCTTGCAATGGCCTCCAAACTCCTGGTTGCAGGTTTGTGAAATTGGTCGAAGCTGGTCTTCGCCCCAGCAGCTTGCCTGAGGACAATGCTGAGGACAATGCTGAGGACAATACTCTGCTTGTGCTCTGCTGAATCTACTGTGCTCTGCTGCAGAATCGAAGGCTTCTCAGCGGATTCATGGATGTCGCAACCGAAGTGTCAGCCTTGTAGGCGTTCCAAGCGTGGAGAAAAGCCTTTACGACCGACTCCTGCCTCTCCTCAGCAAACTACTCAAGAAGCTGGAATTTGCATACAAACACACATGTCACATACAGGTGTGGCACTTAGATGGACCCTGTCACGGACTGCCAGACAATGCTAGGCGTTCAGCATTCTGCGGGCCGACGATCTCGACGTTCACGTTTGCGAATCCGGTTGTGGGCTTCGCTTGCAGTTCATGCAGTAGCAAGGCCACATGGACCGCGCGGAGCACTAAGTGCCCGCAGGGCATGGATTCAAATGGCTGCAAAGTTGTCAAGGACGCAGAATGATGCAGAATGACGTAGATGCACTTGACAATGAATGAGAGCCGCTAGCCGCTAGCATAACAATGGGAACGCACCCAGCTCTGCTAATCCCCACGTCCTGGTAGTGGTTGCTTTCTCCTCCTTGGCGGCATCCTCTGCCTCTTGCAGTAAAGGCAGAGGCACGCGCGGGCAAATGGATTGTGAAACCATCACAAACTGAAGTGTCAAGAGCCGTGGGCCCCTGATGGACTGAAATCTGTGGCACCCCGCCAGCAGATCCTCACCTGGCTTTCTTAATTGCAGACTTTGTCAAACTGTCACGAGCCAAAGAGGTTCTCATCTTGTCCAATGACCCATGAAAAGCATATGACATAGTGCGATATGGCTTCGCGAAAATTCTAGAAGAAAAACGCCGAGTTGTAAGCAAGAGTTAATCGCCCACGCACACTGTCAGTCAGTCAATGCTGGGAGCCACATTCGGTTGAGGGTCACAAGGTCAGGGGATTGTGAAGAGTTGTTCGTTCGCAAGGTGACAACGAGAATAGGTTGAAACAAGTGTTTATTGAGATATGCTATGGCTATGTGCAGTAAAACGCTGTGTACCAAGTTGTCAGCAACACACTTTGACCATTTATCTTCGCACAAAACCCTGGATCATCCACATCAGGGAGGGAAGGAAGGAGAAAGACCGAAAAAGAGAGAGAGAGAGAGAGATAGAGAGAGAAACAGAGAGAGAGAGAGAGAGAGAGACAGAGACACAGACACAGACAGAGACCGAGACAGAGACAGGGACGGCAGTCATGATTTGCCTTGGTCGGCATGTATTTGGATCCCTCGGGCTGAAACCCCTGAAACACTGTTTTTTCGATGTGGCCATTTCTGCAAGTGTCTGGTGGCCTTTGCTGCAGGGACTAGAGTGACTGGCAAGATAAAAAGCGTGGCGTGGTGCACGCAGTAGAAGCAATTGGCGGCGGCGACCAAGAGGCTCCAGGCCCATCACCTCTGCTCAAGCAGTCCAAGTCTGCAGCGAGCCAGAGAGCGGAGGGGCGGGGGCACGGCGGGGATCAAGAATCGTCTTGACTCATCTACTTCTGTGAGGAACTCTTTTCCAGGTCTTCGGCTTCTGTTGATCTCAGTTCGGACTTCACGGTTTGGCTGGGAAGGGGAAGGGGATGGAAGGGGCTGGCTGGCATCAGGAAAATGCTTTCGAATCGACGTCGTGTTTGGTATGGCCTGACAACTCTACGTCTATGTCCGCTTCTCAACCCAGGGGTGTCTTAACTCTACGTCTATGTCCGCTTCTCAACGCAGGGGTGTCTTACCGTCTTACCCCCATTTGTGGCAAGGGAAGATACCCGAAGACAGAGGGACATGCAGGCCCAGGGCTTTGTTTGGTTGCATCATCTCTACTCAAGTTGTCAAGGTCCCTCTGAAGAGGCGTACCAACACAGGAAACACAGAGTGGGCGCGGCAGAGGCGCAGGAGAAACTAATTTGGAACCAAACACAAAGATGTGGGAACGATCGCCGGAGGAAGTGGCGCGGATCCTTAGGCGTTAGTTTCCCCATAAGGTTACAGGCGTGCTTTTGGCTTTGCATGCTGCGTATGCAGCATACTTACTCTGGACAGATACTCCGGACAGAAGCTCTTTGGTGATCATCATGAGCATCCACAAAGCCCGCTTCCTTGGTTTGGTGGCCTTTTCACAGCTTCAAATTTCTTCAAATCTAACTTAAGACTCCGATCCAGAGGCAAAGTGCCGGCGACTCGTTCACTCGTTCACTCGTTCACTCGTTCACTCGTTCACCTAATTTGAAAACACTCCTGGCATCGGGCTACTACCGAGGCCATGGCAGCGAGCTCAGCCTGCGTAGCTGCAGCTGCGTAGCTGCTCCAAGCTTTATGCGCAACAGTCGCTGAGACGCACAAGTACTCACAAGTACCAGTATCAGCACCTGATGTTGTGGCTCTGTCGCGCAGGGCTCCACTGAGAAATTGAGGCCTCTTCCAGCGTTCGAAGCACAGCGCCCGAAACCTGCACCGTTTGATCGATGGATGCTCGTGACAAAAGGCCAACTTCACTTGCCAGAGCGCTTCGGTCTGAAAACCGACAACGTCTCTTTCTTCTTCTTTTCTTCTGCTTTTCTTCTTGTTATTATTCTTCTTCATCCTCCTCTGCTTGCTCTTCTTCCTTCTCTTCCTTCTTCTCACTTTGGCCCGGGCGGCCGCAAAGCAGAACACTGGGTCTCTCATCTCCTGCGCCTTGATCTGGCTGTCATTGCCTCTCCCTGGGCTTTTGGGCCCCTCTGGAAAATCCATTCTCTGCCTGCCTCATGCTTGCGCAGCCAGGAGCCCACCTGACACTGGGCCATGTCAATGCCATGTCAGCTATGCCAGAAAAAGAGATCGCGAAGATTGTCCCACATGAACAAGGCCGCTTTTTTCACCTTGCAGGAGATCGCCAGCTGACCACAGTGTCCGCTCCAGCCTATCCGAACAGCATTCGCGCAGCCTTTCGGCTTAGGCCAAGCTGTTTGTCATTTGCTGGAACGATCACGACTGTCGTGCGAGCCGCTGTCACCTGTCGGTTTCTTGTCGGTGAATGTTCAGAAACGAGCTGTTGACTCCGTGCTTCTCCTGGATCCTGGCATCTGTGCCTTTCATTCACACGACCTTGGCGGGCCATCAGAGTGCAAAAGTGTGAGACCGAGGTTCTGTTCTGGACTAGTGTGGAAACACTTGGGACCGGAGCTCCTTCAGCTCATGCTGAGCTCCGACGCCATATCACGAGCCCTCTAACTATGCCAACTATGCTCTAGGCTTTGTGATCGTTTTCCTGACAACCATTAGGCCGAGGCATTCCTGAGCAGCTGTCAGGCCTCGAACGCTTCAAGTCCTACTCGCCAAGCCGTCAGAGCTCAGCACTCCCCGAGACACGTCCATTCATCAACTACCTAACCAACCAAGCACTGACTATGATATTAGTTGCATCTGCTTTTCACTTAAGGCAATGGATGCCCCTTTTTTAACGCGGTCTGACATTTGAGCAGTGCGATGTGACCTGAGACTTACGTGGGCTCGTGAAGATACGGATACCTCATGATTTGCCAATCAGTAGGGTTCAGGATTAGGGGGACCCTTGGGGATATAGACCCTCTGAATAAGGTCCCTGTTTAAGAGGGTCAGAAGAGGGTTAAGAAGGGTTCACCAGGAAGCCAGTGCATGGCAGCTAGCTAGCCACTAGCTAGCTGCTAGCTGACCCCATGGCATCCAACAAGTGCTCAACGCAGCTCAACGCAGCTCAACGCAGCTCAACGCAGCTCAACGCAGCTCAACGCAGCTCAACGCAGCTCACCGCTTACAGGGCTACCAGTCCTCTCCTTTGAGGCGGAAACCCCGTTTACGGAGCATCTCTGGAAGTTGGTTGTAGCCTCGGCAACGTGACGGATAGGAAGTAAATACAAAATTGATGCAAACTACTCAGCGCAGTGAAACACAAAGCCAGGATGCTGTAGTGGGTAAGATCGATCCTCTCCTCCCCAGATCATCGCTAGAGCAAAGACAAGGGCTCATGTACTCTTAGGGTGGGGTGGAGTGGAGTTTAGGGTATTTTTCTTCATTTTTGGTGCTGAATCAATTGTTTTTTGTTGTGGGGGGGGGGGGGGGGGGGGGGCCCCGTTTGCGTAGTTGTCCCTGGAATAACCTGTATTTTAACAGGGTTCCTGCGAACTTTTCATTGGTTCGAATTAATTTCAAAAGAACCCTCTCATTAAAATTCTAATCGAACTCCGTTAATAGGATGCTCCATAGGGCCATAGGATTCTCATCGCGTTCCTTCTGATTTGAATACGGACCTTACGAATTCTACTCGAATTCTTACTAATTTTAGTAGGATTGCTCTTACTTCATATGATTTCTATTTGCAAACGCAATGCACATTCATGTCATATGCTTGAAAAGACAAACTACCTCCTGCACCTTCTTGCTCCTGGCTACCTGACCAATATCAAGAGCAACAATGCTGTGAAAGACGAACCCCAAGACAAAAAGTACAAAGACAAAAACAAAAACAAGTCAACATGCAACAAAAACCATGGAGCCCCTGCCGAGCATCTGAGTACCCGTTTGAAACACACGAGTTCAAGGCACACACTAGCAAGCTACTAGCATGCACCAAAAACTCTTCACCCAAGCATTGGACGCTTCCCCTCTCCAAGCACAATCCACGTCACGGTCACTAAACCACGAAGCACTGTGCGTTGTGAGCTAGGACAGCATCGTGTCACATAGAAGCCAATGTCGAGCCCCTTGAGGCCAGTTTCACATACATACGCTAGGAGCACCGTACCGACATAAGAACAAAAAATCTCAATACCCCAACCGTGGGCCACCAAGCCCGTGTACAATATGCGATTCGGTCGATCATAGTACCCCGCATTGAATGAAAACCAAACCGAGCAAAAAACAACAGCACACTGGCAAAGCAAGCCAACATCACAAGCCAAGAGACGGTAGAACAGACAGTCCAGCACGCCAAGATGTTAAGACAGCGACATATTCCATGTTTACTGCGGTTCATCTCCTGAAGCCATACATTTCCTTTTTGTATATTGTCAGGAATTAGGTATGTATTTTACGCTTTACATGATACATTATTTGTTATACATTCTACATTATGGATGACATACTATATATTCTATACTGCATATCATGTGTTACTATATTTTCTATATAAAGTATTATGTGTATATATATATACAATGATATCCCATAGATTATATATTATACATTACACATTATATATCATATATTACATGTTATGCGGTCTTCGTTCCTGCTCTCCTTCCTTCCTCTGCCTTCCATCATCTTCCCTCCATCATCTGCATTCCTTCCTTCCTTCCTTCCTTCCTTCCTTCCTTCCTTCCTGCCTTCATTCCTGCCTTCATTCCTTCCGTCATTGCTTCCTTTCCTTCCTGCCGTCCTT